GCTTCAGGTATGGTCATCTGGCTGTACTTTCTGGGTACTGGTCTTTTCATTGCACCTCTCTGGGCCTCTGTTAATTGACTCACTTCTCTCCGAGCCGCCTTGATCTTAGCCTCCAACCGTCTTTTCCATGGTGGGTATTGTCCATGGCTCCCATGGTTCTCTTATAGCCAAGCATCTCTAGGATCACTGCTGCTGAAGTGTATATCAGCTCATTGGTTTCAGTGATTGTGGTGGTAGGTATTGCCCTCACTGCTGCATTCACGCTTTCTATGAGATCCTTAGGTGGTACTTCACACAACCGCTGTAACCGGTGTCTTTGCCCTGTGCCCATTCTAGCCATGATCTTAGCTTTCAGGTCAGTCGCTGCCTCGTTCAGCGTTATCGGTTCCATTGGGGCTATGTACCCAATATCTGGTTGGGGAGTTGCAGTTGGTGGGATCTCCCCTCTGACCTCGGCAACTGTGGCATCATATATGTGTTGTACTTCATCAATCTCAAGCTGTGATAGAAGTTGCCGTTTGTGGATGTTGGAGCATTGAGCTACCAGTTGTTTCGGGGTCAACTGTGACTGTGGGTTTCGAAGTAACCATTCAGCCCACATTCTCTGCATGTAACCTCTTTGGCCAGGGTTACTCGAGTAGTAGCATTCCAACAGAGCCCTGTTATCGCATCTCGTCCACTTTCGCCTTGTTCCAGTAGCCCACTTTTCATCAAGGTGCTCTGGTTCCCCAGCACCTGACGCAGACCTTGTTTGGCCGGGCGACGGCTGATCCGGCATCTCATTGCTTATTTGTACCTTCATGGTTATGAGTTAGGCAGTAGCATTAAGGGTCTTGCCCAAGGACCCTCACTGGATGTTGGTGTTAATGTGCTCCCGGTGGGATTCGAACCCTGGCCTCCCAGGTCCCAGTCCTGTGCCCTACCAACTGAGCTATCCAGCTGCTTATATATATATATATATATACATATATATATATACATATATATATATACATATATTAGTGCTGTCCAACGATTAAAATATTTAATCGCGATTAATCGCATGAATTTCATAGTTAACTCGCGATTAATCGCAAATTAGTCACCCATTTGCGTGCTGTGTGCAATTGCTTTTTTATTGAAAACAATGTGTAGTGTTATATTACACACTAACATTTGATGCAAAATCATCAATAAATGGATGACAAAATAAATAATTGGTAACAAAAAGCCCCTTCAATGTGTGTGTGGAGTGTGTGTGTTTATGGGTGTGGGTGTGTGTGTGTATGTGTGGGTATAGACCATAGACTGTATAGAAACATCATGGTGTCATTATGATGATGATAAACAATTTTTTTGTAAATTTGTTCATGTAAATACTCTATGCTGTTTCTCAGTTTACTTTCGGTATATCTATGACTGTATACTGTTTGCTTGTATTGCCTTTTTTATTAACCCCTCCCCCCCATCTCCCACTTCATGTCCCCCCCCCTCCTATGTGCCCTTCTGGGTTTCTTCTTTGGCCCCCTGTATCTCCAACTACATATTGTTTGTAATCTCTGTCTACAATGTATCTTAACTAGTCCTTTTCTTTGTGTCTATTTTTTTTCTGTATATGTGTTTGTCTGCAATAAAAAGTAAAAAAAAAAAAAAAAAAATTTTTTTTTTTTTTTTTTTTATAATTATAAAAAAAATTAATGGCGATAAAAAAAATGACGCCGTTAATATTGATTTACGTTAACGCGTTAATAACGCGATATTTTGGACAGCACTAATATATATGTATATATATATGTGTATATGTATATATATATATATATATATACACATATTTATGTATATATACACATATATATATGTATATACCACCGTCCACCATGTATATATATGTATATATATATATATATATATATATATATATATATATATATATATATATATATATATATGTATATACCTCACCTCTGGTCATGAGGGAGCAGCATCTGTAGTCAGAGCTCTTCATTCAGTCACACAGGAGGAGCTCAGAATAGAGCCGCTGCTCCTCCACATGGAGAGGAGACAGCTCAGGTGATGTTTGTTTCATAAATGTAACGTAGTGGACAGTAGCAGCAGTGTGTACTCTCTGCTATGTGGTGTGTACTCTCTGCTCTGTGGTGTGTACTCTCTGCTCTGTGGTGTGTACTCTCTGCTATGTGGTGTGTACTCTCTGCTCTGTGGTGTGTACTCTCTGCTCTGTGGTGTGTACTCTCTGCTCTGTGGTGTGTACTCTCTGCTCTGTGGTGTGTACTCTCTGCTCTGTTGTATGTACTCTCGAGTCCTGACTAGAACCAGGAAGTACGACCACATTAGTCCTGACTAGAACCAGGAAGTACGACCACATTAGTCCTGACTAGAACCAGGAAGTACGACCACATTAGTCCTGACTAGAACCAGGAAGTACGACCACATTAGTCCTGACTAGAAGGAAGAAAGGAAGGAAGGAAGGAAGGAAGGAAGGAAGGGAGGGAGGGAGGGTTATGTAGATTGTCTGTGAATGATGCTGTGTCTTCACCTTTTTGAGCAGCAGAAAAACCCTCTGTGAGGACTGTGTCTGAAGACCAGAGAGACCAGAGAGAGACCAGAGGGAGAGACCAGAGAGAGAGACCAGAGAGAGAGACCAGAGAGAGAGACCAGAGAGAGAGACCAGAGAGAGAGACCAGAGAGAGAGACCAGAGAGAGAGACCAGAGAGAGACCAGAGAGAGAGAGACCAGAGAGAGACCAGAGAGAGAGAGACCAGAGAGAGAGACCAGAGAGAGACCAGAGAGAGAGAGACCAGAGAGAGAGACCAGAGAGAGACCAGAGAGAGAGAGACCAGAGAGAGAGACCAGAGTGGTTAAAGGCCCATTACCTGTGGCGTTGCAGCAGAGGCTCATGGGAAGTGAGTGTGAGCAGATAGCACTGTCCCCTTTAGGTCGGCACTAGATCATAAACGGAATCGGGACGGAACCGGAAGTAACAATCATACTTTCAAATTATTTTTAGACTAATAAGTCCTTAAGTGGTGACTGGTTAAGTTTTAAGTGTCTGAGTAAGATGGTTAAGGTTAGGGTTAAGGTGGTCTGAGTAAGATGGTTAAGGTTAGGTTTAAGGTGGTCTGAGTAAGATGGTTAAGGTTAGGGTTAAGGTGGTCTGAGTAAGATAGTTAAGGTTAGGGTTAAGGTGGTCTGAGTAAGATGGTTAAGGTTAGGGTTAAGGTGGTCTGAGTAAGATGGTTAAGGTTAGGGTTAAGGTGGTCTGAGTAAGATAGTTAAGGTTAGGGTTAAGGTGGTCTGAGTAAGATGGTTAAGGTTAGGGTTAAGGTGGTCTGAGTAAGATAGTTAAGGTGGTCTGAGTAAGAGGGGGTTAAGGTGGTCTGAGTAAGATGGTTAAGGTTAGGGTTAAGGTGGTCTGAGTAAGATGGTTAAGGTTAGGGTTAAGGTGGTCTGAGTAAGATGGTTAAGGTTAGGGTTAAGGTGGTCTGAGTAAGATGGTTAAGGTTAGGGTTAAGGTGGTCTGAGTAAGATGGTTAAGGTTAGGGTTAAGGTGGTCTGAGTAAGATGGTTAAGGTTAGGGTTAAGGTGGTCTGAGTAAGATGGTTAAGGTTAGGGTTAAGGTGGGTTGGGTTATTCCATGGGAATGGCTGGTTAAGTTTAGGCATAAATAGGTAGTTTGTTATATTTACTTCCGCTTCTGCTTCCGTCTCGATTCCGTATATGATCTAGTGCTGACCCTGTCTCCAGGAGCTAACGGCCTGAACGCCACAACCGCCAAAAGTAGTTCTTGGTCCAAAAGTGGTTCTTTGTCCCTGTGTGCTCAGACTATGGTCCCTGTGTCCCCAGAGTATGGTCCCTGTGTGCTCAGACTATGGTCCCTGTGTCCCCAGAGTATGGTCCCTGTGTGCTCAGACTTTGGTCCCTGTGTGCTCAGACTATGGTCCCTGTGTGCTCAGACTATGGTCCCTGTGTGCTCAGACTATGGTCCCTGTGTCCCCAGAGTATGGTCCCTGTGTGCTCAGACTATGGTCCCTGTGTCCCCAGAGTATGGTCCCTGTGTCCCCAGAGTATGGTCCCTGTGTCCCCAGAGTATGGTCTCTGTGTCCCCAGAGTATGGTCCTTGTGTGCTCAGACTTTGGTCCCTGTGTGCTCAGACTTTGGTCCCTGTGTGCTCAGAGTATGGTCCCTGTGGTCCTCAGAGTATGGTCCCTGTGTGCTCAGACTTTGGTCCCTGTGTCCCCAGAGTAAGCTGGTCATGGAGGGGTTCCGGAGCCTGAAAGAGGGCGAGCCGCTGGAGTTCACCTACAAGAAGTCCTCCAAAGGTCTGGAGTCTCTGCGAGTCACGGGGCCCGGAGGAGGCCCCTGCACCGGCAGCGACCGGAGACCCAAGGGGAAGCTGCCCGTGCACAAGCGCAAACCAAAGGGAGACCGGTGAGTGACATCACAGACCCTGTAGACCCAGGACTGAGGCTGTAGACCCAGGACTAAGGCTGTAGACCCAGGACTAAGGCTGTAGACCCAAGACTGAGGCTGTAGACCCAAGACTGAGGCTGTAGACCCAGGATTAGATCCTGTCTGTAGTGTGTACTTGGTGGAAAGGCGAGTTTATTTGTATAGCACAGTTCATACACAGAGAGGTCTTCACTACACGCCTGTTGCCATGGAGACGAAGTACTCCAGTCACTCTCTCCATATTCTGAAATCAATGCTTTGAGGCCAGAGACACTTTCAACACTGCGGCTTTAGGCTCAGACCTCCTAGAGATGATTGGCTGAGAGCTGATTGGCTGAGAGCTGATTGGCTGAGCGCTGATTGGCTGAGCGCTGATTGGCTGAGAGCTGATTGGCTGAGAGCTGATTGGCTGAGCGCTGATTGGCTGAGCGCTGATTGGCCGAAAGAGGGTGGTCCTCTCTTTGTCACTTGTCTGTGTGTGAAGGATGTGACAGAGGACACAGGGTTTGTTACAGGTCATTTGCCTGGTTTAAAGTTAGGTACCCCAGCTTTAATGAGAGGTATAATTTTGTTGCCCATAGTGATGTGGTCCATAGTGATGTGGTCCATAGTGGTCCATAGTGATGTGGTCCATAGTGGTCCATAGTGATGTGGTCCATAGTAATGTGGTCCATAGTGGTCCATAGTGATGTGGTCCATAGTGGTCCATAGTGATGTGGTCCATAGTGATGTGGTCCATAGTGATGTGGTCCATAGTGGTCCATAGTGATGTGGTCCATAGTGGTCCATAGTGATGTGGTCCATAGTGATGTGGCCCATAGTGATGTGGTCCATAGTGGTCCATAGTGATGTGGTCCATAGTGATGTGGTCCATAGTGATGTGGTCCATAGTGATGTGGTCCATAGTGATGTGGTCCATAGTGATGTGGTCCATAGTGATGTGGTCCATAGTGGTCCATAGTAGGAAGCGTGAGCATGAGGACTAGCAAGATGGCGCCGTGTCAGGGCGCCGCAGTGAACGCTCTGTGGCGCACAATCTGTGTTTTGTTGTTTTTCGTCTGGGATTCACTTGCCACAGTGAAATATGATCGGCAAACACTTCTGCACATTCGGGACCACGCGGGTGACGGGTCACTCGTTTTACCTGAACTGAGGTGCACAAACTTCCTCGAGTGTCCCACTCAAGAGGCTGGTGGAGCACAGCAGGCGGGCCGCGGCGGTGGCCGCCAACAGAGCGAGGGGACCGGGCGTCTTCGGCGTTCTCTCCGCGGTGTGGAGCTGGGCACCTGGAGTCGGCGAAGGAGGCGCAGACACCGGGGAAGGCGAGGCGGTCTGCTCGTTCGTAGCCGCTCCTCCAGGACCCCTTTGCCCTCCATCTACCTGGCCAACGTCCAGTCTCTGCCCAACAAGACGGACGAGCTCCTGTGTCGGGTCCAGAGCCAGCGCGAGGCCCGGGACTGTGCTGTGTTCTGCCTCAGCGAGACGTGGCTCCACTCGAACGTCCCGGACTCTGCTGTTCAGCCCCCGGGATTCACCGCTCACCGTGCGGACAGAGTGAAGGAGACCACGGGCAAGGCCAGAGGCGGAGGTCTGTGCTTTTTAATTAATCAGCGCTGGTGCACGGACACTCGAGTCGTGAACCAAACATGTACTGCCAATCTGGAATGCCTGGTCTTGAGCTGCCGCCCTTTTTATCTTCCCCGTGAGTTTTCAGTGATATTTTTATGTGCTGTTTACATTCACTCACGTGCGGATTACAAAGTAGCCCTACAGGATCTGAGCGAGATCCTTCACAAACATGAGTCTGCTCATCCTAACGCAGTCATCATTGTTGCTGGGATTTCAATAAATGTAATTTAAAGACTGTACTCCCGAACTTTTACCAACATGTGACTCAAGCTACAAGAGGAGCACATGTTCTGGATCACTGCTACAGTAACGTGAAGGGAGCTTACAGGTCCAGTCTCAGACCTCCTTTTGGAAAGTCTGACCACTCCTCTGTTCTCCTTCTTCCTTCGTATACTCAGAGGAGCAGGGAACATAAACCAACCTCTCTCACTGTGCAGTGTTGGTCTGAGGAGGCTAGCATGAAGCTACAAGGTTGTTTTGATGCTACGGACTGGTCTGTGTTTCAGTCAGAGGACGTCAATGAATTCTGTGACGCTGTGTCTGGATACATACGCTTCTGGTCTCTCTCTGCTGTGTCCCACAGAAGGTCATTAAAGAACATTTTAGTCAAAACCCTTGGATGAACGCGGAAGTGAAACTGAAACTTCATGAGCGTGCGTTGGCGTTTCAATCAAATGATACAGCTGCTTACAAGTTCTCCTGTTACTCATTCAAACGCTCTATTAAATCTGCAAAGCGCAGTTACGGGGACAGGTTAAAGAGTTATTTTGAGGAAGATGACCCTCGGCGCATGTGGAACGGTATTAAAGCCATCACATCGTGGAAACCTAGTGCTGGGAAAACTGCATCTGTCGGCCAAGCTCTGCCAAACGAGCTGAACACGTTCTACTGTCGCTTTGAATCCGCTGATGCCTTTCCTACTGTATTCCCTGAGTGTTTCAATCAAGGTACCTTCACCGTGACTCAGGAGGAAGTCAGGCGTGTCTTGTCCAGGACCACAGTCCGGAAAGCCCCAGGCCCGGACGGCATCCCTCCTCGTGTCCTGAAACTGTGCTTTGAGCAACTTGCCCCTGTGCTAACAGACATTTTCAACCTGTCGCTAAGGAACTGTACTGTGCCGAACTGCTTTAAAGAGTCCACCATCATTCCAGTTCCTAAGAAAACTCCTGTGACATGCCTGAATGACTATCGTCCTGTGGCCCTCACGTCTGTTCTTATGAAAACTTTTGAGCGGCTTGTGCTGGACTTCATTAAGAGCCAGATCCCTGTGAGTGTTGACCCGCTCCAGTTTGCTACAGACAGAACAGGAGTGTGGAGGATGCCATCTCCTTTGCTCTGAACTCTGTCTACAGTCACTTGGACACTAGTAAATCTGTGGCCAGAATGCTTTTCATCGATTATAGCTCTGCTTTTAACTGCCTTGTCCCAGGTAAACTGATTGAAAAGCTCATGTCTCTGGGTTTAAGTGTTGCCATGTGTAAATGGATTTTTAGCTTTTTAACTGACAGATCTCAGAGAGTGTTTTTCTGATGTTGTTTCTGTGAGCACTGGTTCTCCTCAGGGATGTATTTTGAGTCCTTTGCTTTTTACTTTGTACACTCACGATTGTGTGTCCTCCTCTGACTCAAACTTGATCATCAAATATGCTGATGACACCACCATCATCGGTCTCATCAGTGACACTGATGAATCCTCTTATAGAGCAGAGATACAAAATGTGGTTCAGTGGAGTCAAACTAACAACCTCCAGTTGAACGCATCCAAAACATGTGAACTGGTCACGACTTCAGTCGCAATAGTTCTCATTTGCCTGTCTTAATCGACAACTCCCAGGTGCAGATCGTAGAGGAGCAAGTTTCTGGGTCTAACTCTGTCTAACCTGAAATGGGTTAAAAACACTGACCGAGTCGTTAAGAAAGCTCGTCAGCGTCTCTACTTTCTGCGTAAACTTAGAGAATTTACCACTAACTCTAAGATTGTGCTGAACTTTTATGGCTGCACCATTGAGAGTTTACTTGTTGGTTCTGTGTCTGTGTGGTTTGGAAACATCACAGATAAAGAAAAGAGAGCTTTAAACAAGGTGCTCCGCTCTGCAAAGAGGACCGTGGGCTGTGAGCTTCCTGTTCTGGAGGTTCTTTATAAATCCAGACTTTTAAACAAAGCTCTTAGGATTATTAATGACTCTTCTGGCCACCCTGGGAAAGCCATGTTCCAGCTTCTTCCCTCTGGCAGAAGATATCGCTCTCTGAGATGCAGGACATCTCGTTACGCTAACAGTTTTTATCCACAGGCTGTTATCAGTGTGAACAGAGCACTTTAATGATTTGCACTTGTTTTGAAACTGTTTTAGTCGATCGATTTCACAGTGACATTGTTTACTGTTTTATTTGTTTTATTTTTGTCTTTTAATGTTGTTTTATGTCTGTATTTGTCTGTGCACACTGGAGACTTTTGCTAATGTATTCCTATGTGTTTTTTTTTACTGCAAATGGCAAATAAACTGAATCTGAATCTAGTGATGTGATCCATAGTGGTCCATAGTGATGTGGTCCATAGTGATGTGGTCCATAGTGATGTGGTCCATAGTAATGTGGTCCATAGTAATGTGGTCCATAGTAATGTGGTCCATAGTAATGTGGTCCATAGTAATGTGGTCCATAGTAATGTGGTCCATAGTAATGTGGTCCATAGTAATGTGGTCCATAGTAATGTGGTCCATAGTAATGTGGTCCATAGTAATGTGGTCCATAGTGATGCGGCCCATAGTGATGCGGTCCATAGTGATGCGGTCCATAGTGATGCGGTCCATAGTGATGCGGTCCATAGTAATGTGGTCCATAGTGATGTGGTCCATAGTAATGTGGTCCATAGTGGTCCATAGTGATGTGGTCCATAGTGATGCGGTCCATAGTGATGTGGTCCATAGTAATGTGGTCCATTGTGGTCCATAGTGGTCCATAGTGATGTGGTCCATAGTGGTCCATAGTGATGCGGCCCATAGTGATGCGGTCCATAGTGATGTGGTCCATAGTAATGTGGTCCATAGTAATGTGGTCCATAGTAATGTGGTCCATAGTGATGCGGCCCATAGTGATGGGGTCCATAGTGATGGGGTCCATAGTGATGTGGTCCATAGTGGTCCATAGTGATGTGGTCCATAGTAATGTGGTCCATAGTAATGTGGTCCATAGTGGTCCATAGTGATGAGGTCCATAGTGATGTGGTCCATAGTGATGTGGTCCATAGTGATGTGGTCCATAGTGATGTGGTCCATAGTAATGTGGTCCATAGTGATCCATAGTGATGTGGTCCATAGTGATGTGGTCCATAGTAATACAATACAATACAATACAATTTATTCTTGTATAGCCCTAGGTCACAACAGAAGTCATCTCAGAGGACTTAACAAAACCATTGAAATCACCAACACAGGTCAGAGAATCAACAGTTAAAACACATGAAGAATACAGTATAAAGCACACACAGAAGAAAATGTCCATACATGTTGTAGAATGCTAAAGTGTCCTGATCATCACCAATCCTTTCTGTTGGACACTAACTGTCCAACAAGACCCTCCTGCATCGACAAGGAACAACTCTTAAAAAACCCAGTGGGAAAAAGTGAGAAACCTTGGGGAGAACTAGGGAAACCCACAGGGAGGGAGACCCATATGAGAAAGGGATCCGCTCCTCCGGACGGACAGACTAATGATCCAGGACCTAAGCTAGCTACAGAACGTGGACCAGTGGCCGCTGAACGTGGACAGGTCCGGTGCAGGACTGAAGCACTCCCAGGCGGGTCGGGCGGGGCAGTCCGCAGGTGTAGATGGAAGAGGCCAGGCTCAGAGATCCCGTCATCGTACCATGAAACAGACAATGGGACAACGGGTGAATAGCAATGAACAAACTACAGTCAGAATCCTAAAAATGCTAAACAGATAAAGTAGGAAGGAGGAGAGGATAGTGCTCAAGTTACCATACTTCTCCCAGCAAACTGACTCCCTATGCAGCTTGACTGACACTCTGAGGAGTTTAACCTTCTCCGAGTCTTACCTTCCTAGCCATATGCTAAACTAAAGAGGACTGTTTTAAACCTAGCCTTGAATAAAGAATAACATACAGCATAATATATAACATAATATACAACATAACACAATACATTATTGAATAATATATAACATAATATATAACATAATACAGCATATATATATAATATATACACTACATATTATATATTACCTAATTATATGCTAAATTAAAGTAAAGTGCTTTAAGCCTGGCCTTGAATGTGGAGACCGTATCTGCTTCCTTAACATAAATGGGAAGCTGATTCCACAGTAAAGGAGCTTGGTAGCTAAATGCTCTGCCACCAACAGTGACCTTTGAGACCTTAGGGACCACCAGACGTCTGGCGTTTTGTGAGCGCAACGCTCGACCTGGTTGATACGACACTAACGTGTCTTGGAGATAAGAGGGAGCCAAGCCATTTATGGCTTTATATGTTAAGAGAAGGATTTTAAACTTTATTCTGTACTCCACAGGGAGCCAGTGGAGTGATTTTAACACCGGAGTTATGTGCTCCCTCCTTTTGGTACCTGTTAAGATCCTAGCTGCTGTATTCTGAACGAGCTGGAAGCTCTTCAAAGAGGCTTTAGGGCACGCTGCCAGTAAAGCGTTACAGTAGTCGAGCCTTGAGGTGACAAACGCGTGAATGAGTTTTTCCGCGTCACTTTTAGGAAGGAAATTCCTAATTTTAGCGATGTTCCGTAAGTGGAAGTACGCCGTTTTAGTTGCTTGGCTTATATAAGCCTTGAAGGAGAGTTCTTGGTCAAAAATGACTCCGAGATTCCTCACAGTGTTACTGGGTATTATACTGACATTATCAGAGTAACCATCTGGTTAGTGAGGGAGTCACGCAGGCGCTTCGGACCGAGTAGGATCACTTCTGTCTTCTCCGGGTTGAGAAGTAGGAAGTTAAGAGTCATCCACATTTTAAGGTCCTTTATGCAGGCACTGAGCTTTTCCAGCTGATCTGTCTGATTTGGCTTCATCGACAGATAAAGCTGTGTGTCATCTGCATAGCAGTGGAAATTAATTCCATGCTTTTTAATAATGTTTCCCAGTGGCAGCATGTAGAGAGTAAAAAGAATCGGTCCGAGTACCGAACCCTGCGGCACACCGAATTCCACTCCAGAATAAGGCGACGAGTCCTGATTCACATTGACGAAGTGATATCGATCTGATAAATAGGATTTAAACCAGCCAAGGGCTGTTCCTCTAAGACCTATATCACATTCTAGCCTCTGCAGTAGAATGCTGTGGTCTATTGTGTCAAATGCAGCACTAAGGTCCAGTAGGACCAGCACTGACACTTGTCCATTATCGGCAGCTAGTAGTAAGTCATTTGTGACTTTGACTAGTGCCGTTTCAGTGCTATGATGAGCTCTGAATCCTGATTGAAAGACTTCAAACATATCATTTTCCTGCAGGTGGCAGCGGAGCTGCTCAGCTATAAGTTTTTCCAGGATTTTAGATATAAAAGTGAGGTTTGAGATCGGTCTGTAGTTTGTAAGTATTTCTGGGTCCAGGTTTGTTTTCTTCAGAAGGGGTTTGATTACCGCGGTTTTAAAAGCTTGTGGGACATAGCCACATTGTATGGATGCGTTTATTATATTTACGATAGGCTCAATTATCAAAGGAAGTATGTCTTTGAAGAGCCATGTCGGGACTGCGTCTAACATGCAAGTTGAGGCTTTTGAGGATGTGACCACAGAGATCACCTCTGCTTGGCTCACAGCCATGAATTTATTAAGGCCCACTGAAGAGTCTAAGTGGGAAGTCACGTATGCCGCTTCAACCTGTCCACCACTAACAGCAGGAGCAACCTCCTCCAGCTTGTCACGGATGGATGTAATTTTATTATTAAAGAAGTGGAGAAAGTCGACACTGCTCAGTGAGCTTGGAATTTTAGGCTCGATTGCGCTATGGCAGTTTGTGAGTTTAGCGACGGTACCAAACAAAAATCTACTGTTGTTTTTATTCGCTTCTATTAAAGTTGAATAGTATTGAGTTCGAGCCCCGCGAAGGGCCTTCTTGTTGTTTCGGAGACCTGCTTTCCACTCCCTGTGGACAGGCTCCGAGTGGGAGTGGCGATATAGCCTCTCCAATTTTCTGACGTCCTGTTTTAAAGTGTGGAGTTGAACACTGTACCAGGGCGACGATGATCTAATCCTAATGGTTTTCTGTTTTAAAGGAGCTGCTGCATTTAATGCAGATTTTAAAGACTCCATAGTGTTGCCCACCGTTTGGTCAATGACTGAGGGACTGCAGCAGCTGTGAACAGGTTCACCTGCAGCAGTATTCAACATAGGCTGTATTAGTTCTTTGAACCTTGTGATAGATTTATCATTTAAGGTTCTTTTCATTATGGTTTTATCTTGCGGGACAGGAAAGTCCTCCAAAGCGAGATCAAACGTGATCAAGAAATGGTCAGACAGCAACGAGCTTTGACGCTGGATGTCAACATTGGAGACATCACAGCCGTAGGTCAGGACAAGGTCCAAGGTGTGGTTATGAATGTGAGTAGGTCCCTCGACATTATGAGTAAAACCAACACCATCTAGTACGGCGCTGAAAGCTTTGTTTAAGCTGTCAGTGCCGTCGTCCACATGTATATTGAAGTCTCCAGCTATAACTATGTTTTCCCATTCCAAAACTAGGTTTGAAATGAAGTCAGAGAATTCTGTTAGGAACTCGCTGTAAGGACCAGGAGGTCGGTATAAAACTATAAATAGTACTGCTTTTTGTTTTCTCCACCCAGGACAGGTGATTGAAAGTGTTAAGTTTTCAAACGAGTGAAAAGCGTTGTTGGTTTTGGGACTAAGAACCAAGTTGGTGTGTGATATAATCGCAACACCACCGCCGCGACCTGTAGCTCTGGCTTTCTGGTAGTTAACATGCGTCGGAGGAGTGCACTCATTCAATCTAACGTACTCGTCCTGTTGGAGCCAAGTCTCCGAGAGCGCTAACAGATCCAAGCCCTTGTCTATAATAAGTTCGTTTATGAGAAGCGATTTAGACGAGATTGATCTGACGTTCATTAAACCACATTTAACAACCCTACCGCTAGAACTATTTCTGTCTGTCTGAACTTTTATTAAGTTACTGTGTCTGACACCCAGGTCAGATTTCCTCGCATATAGTGCTTTAGACTTCAAGCGGGGAACACACACAGTTTCAATCTGACTAGGTTCTGAGGCTAGTAACTGAACAGATGGGGGCTCAGAGGTTGTGGCAGAGCAGCTCTGCACCCGGGCCTCAGTTCTGCACCGTCATTTGAGCCGAGCAGAACAGTTTAGAGCCAGGGCCAAATTCTTAGCCAAAAGGGATGTACCCGCCAACGTTGGGTGGATATCATCCGAGCGGATGAGACCGGGCTTTCCCCAAAAGGCACTCCAATTGTCAACATGAACAACACCACTTCGAGGGCACCAGCCAGACAGCCAGCGGTTGAAAGCCGAGTGTCTGCTGAATGCTTCTGCACTGCTAGTGCTAGGTAGGGGCCCAGAGAAGATGACAGTGTCGGCCATTGTGCTAGCCAGCTTGCACACGGCGGCGACTTGCAGCTTCAACACCTCGGACTGTTTCCGCCGAACGTCATTACCACCCGCGTGAATAACAATTCGACGGAAACGCTGCTTGTAGTAATGTGGTCCATAGTGATGCGGTCCATAGTAATGTGGTCCATAGTGGTCCATAGTAATGTGGTCCATAGTAATGTGGTCCATAGTAATGTGGTCCATAGTAATGTGGTCCATAGTGATGTGGTCCATAGTAATGTAGTCCATAGTAATGTGGTCCATAGTGATGCGGTCCATAGTGGTCCATAGTGATGTGGTCCATAGTGATGCGGTCCATAGTGCTGTGGTCCATAGTGATGCGGTCCATAGTGATGCGGTCCATAGTGCTGTGGTCCATTGTGCTGTGGTCCATAGTGATGTGGTCCATAGTGATGTGGTCAATAGTAATGTGGTCCATAGTGATGTGGTCCATAGTGATGTGGTCAATAGTAATGTGGTCCATAGTGATGTGGTCCATAGTGGTCCATAGTGATGTGGTCCATAGTGATTCGGCCCATAGTGATGCGGTCCATAGTGATGTGGTCCATTGTGATGTGGTCCATAGTGATGTGGTCCATAGTGATGTGGTCCATAGTGATGTGGTCAATAGTAATGTGGTCCATAGTAATGTGGTCCATAGTGGTCCATAGTGATGTGGTCCATAGTGATTCGGCCCATAGTGATGCGGTCCATAGTGATGCGGTCCATAGTGATGTGGTCCATAGTAATGTGGTCCATTGTGGTCCATAGTGATGTGGTCCATAGTGGTCCATAGTGATGCGGCCCATAGTGATGCGGTCCATAGTGATGTGGTCCATAGTAATGTGGTCCATAGTAATGTGGTCCATAGTGATGCGGCCCATAGTGATGTGGTCCATAGTGATGCGGTCCATAGTGATGTGGTCCATAGTGATGTGGTCCATAGTGGTCCATAGTGATGTGGTCCATAGTAATGTGGTCCATAGTAATGTGGTCCATAGTGATGTGGTCCATAGTGGTCCATAGTGATGTGGTCCATAGTAATGTGGTCCATAGTGGTCCATAGTGATGTGGTCCATAGTGATGTGGTCCATAGTGATGCGGTCCATAGTAATGTGGTCCATAGTGGTCCATAGTAATGTGGTCCATAGTGGTCCATAGTGATGTGGTCCATAGTGGTCCATAGTGATGTGGTACATAGTGATGTGGTACATAGTGATGTGGTCCATTGTGATGTGGTCCATAGTGATGTGGTCCATAGTGATGTGGTCCATAGTGATGTGGTCCATAGTGATGTGGTCCATTGTGATGTGGTCCATAGTGATGTGGTCCATAGTGATGTGGTCCATAGTGATGTGGTCCATAGTGATGCGGTCCATAGTGCTGTGGTCCATAGTGATGTGGTCCATAGTGATGTGGTCCATAGTGATGCGGTCCATAGTGGTCCATAGTGATGTGGTCCATAGTGATGCGGTCCATAGTGATGCGGTCCATAGCGATGCGGTCCATAGTGATGTGGTCCATAGTGATGTGGTCCATAGTGATGTGGTCCATAGTGATGTGGTCCATAGTGATGCGGTCCATAGTGATGCGGTCCATAGTGATGCGGTCCATAGTGGTCCATAGTGATGTGGTCCATAGTGATGCGGTCCATAGTGATGCGGTCCATAGCGATGTGGTCCATAGTGATGTGGTCCATAGTGGTCCATAGTGATGTGGTCCATAGTGATGTGGTCCATAGTGATGCGGTCCATAGCGATGTGGTCCATAGCGATGTGGTCCATAGTGATGTGGTCCATAGTGGTCCATAGTGATGTGGTCCATAGCGATGCGGTCCATAGTGATGTGGTCCATAGTGGTCCATAGCGATGTGGTCCATAGTGATGTGGTCCATAGTGGTCCATAGTGATGCGGTCCATTGTGATGTGGTCCATAGTGATCTGGTCCATAGTGGTCCATAGTGCTGTGGTCCATAGTAATGTGGTCCATAGTGATGTGGTCCATAGTGCTGTGGTCCATAGTGATGTGGTCCATAGTGGTCCATAGTGATGTAAAGGCGCGTTCAGACCAAAAGCTTCAAAAAGCTTTTGACGCGCTTCAACTGACGCCGGGATAGTTTTGTCATTTTGGTGCTTGAAGCTTTTGACGCGAGTGACGCGCCTGACGCCGGTGGGAGGAGCTTCTCTGTTGTCTGTAGTCAGGACAGCGGTGGATTTTTCAATGAGCAGCGAGCCTTTATTTGTTATATAAAGCAAAATAACGTTGTTGTAGGGCTTCAACAAAACATGTTCTGGGTTTACCACAGACTTGAGAGGCTGCAGTGTTTGCAGAGTTCCGTCATTTACTCCAGGAGCTGCGTACGGAGGAGTTTCGCTTTCAGCGGTACTTCCGCATGTCACTCGCCCAGTCTGAGTTCTCAAACCCCGGAGCTCGCCTCTCCCCGCCTCGCTCTCGCCTCTCCCTGCCTCCCCCTGCCTCTCCCCGGCTCTCGCTCGCCTCTCCCTGCCTCTCCCCGGCTCTCGCTCGCCTCTCCCTGCCTCTCCCCGGCTCTCACTCGCCTCTCCCTGCCTCTCTCTCGCCTCTCCCCTGCCTCTCCCTGCCTCTCCCCGGCTCTCGCTCGCCTCTCCCTGCCTCTCCCAGGCTCTCGCCCGCCCGGAGCTGCCTTGCTCTGAGCCAGACTCATCGTCAGCCTGTTCTTATTTTAAATAAACTAGGTTTACTACACAGCATGTGTACAATGATTTTTGTTACTCAGAATTTTACTACTCATACAAATAATATTACTAATAACAATAATGACAATAAAACAGCAGCAGCAGATACATGACTTCTCTCCATGAAGGGGCGTTCACACCGGACTTAACTTCGGCGTCAAAAGCGTCAGGTTTCCATTGAAAGTGAATGGTGAAGCGCGTCAGGTGAAGCCGAGAGCCCCGGCGTCACTTGACGCGCGTCAAAAGCTTCAAGAGTCGCGCGTACTAAGGGGCGTTCACACCGGACTTAACTTCGGCGTCAAAAGCGTCAGGTTTCCATTGAAAGTGAATGGTGAAGCGCGTCAGGTGAAGCCGAGGGGCTCGGCGTCACTTGACGCGCGTCAAAAGCTTCAAGAGTCGCGCGTACTAAGGGGCGTTCACACCGGACTTAACTTCGGCGTCAAAAGCGTCAGGTTTCCATTGAAAGTGAATGGTGAAGCGCGTCAGGTGAAGCCGAGAGCCCCGGCGTCACTTGACGCGCGTCAAAAGCTTCAAGAGTCGCGCGTACTAAGGGGCGTTCACACCGGACTTAACTTCGGCGTCAAAAGCGTCAGGTTTCCATTGAAAGTGAATGGTGAAGCGCGTCAGGTGAAGCCGAGAGCCCCGGCGTCACTTGACGCGCGTCAAAAGCTTCAAGAGTCGCGCGTAATACGCGCTCACTTGAAGCTTTTGACGCGCGAAACGCTCGCGTATCACAACAATCCCTTTGACGCCAAAGTTGAGCAAAGCTGAGCTTTTGAAGCTTTGACGCGGGCTTCAACCAATCAGGAGACGAGGAGCAGCAGCAGCAGAGGGTCTGTCTCTGTAAGTAAGTTTTTATTTATATACCACCTTTTCACTGCAGATCTGAGTCTCAAAGCGGTTTACAATTGTTATTTTTGGGCACTTGTCTCTCACTCCACACAGAGATGGGAGCAGGGTCGCCAGTACAGGAGGTGCATGCTAGAACTATTGGACATATTTTTAGTGGTAGGGGAAACCGGAGTACCCGGAGGAAACCTACGCAGACACGGGGAGAACATGCAAACTCCACTCAGAAAGGCCCTGGTCCGACCGGGATTCGAACCCAGGACCTTCTTTCTGAGAGGCGAGAGTGCTAACCACTCAGCCACCGTGCCGCCCACGTGGTCCATAGTGATGCGGCCCATAGTGATGCGGTCCATAGTGATGTGGTCCATAGTGATGTGATCCATAGTGATGTGGTCCATAGTGATGTGGTCCATAGTGATGTGATCCATAGTGATGTGGTCCATAGTGATGTGGTCCATAGTGATGCGGTCCATAGTGGTCCATAGTGATGCGGTCCATAGTATGTGGTCCATAGTGATGTGGTCCATAGTGATGTGGTCCATAGTGATGTGGTCCATAGTGGTCCATAGTGATGTGGTCCATAGTGATGTGGTCCATAGTGATGCGGTCCATAGTGGTCCATAGTGATGTGGTCCGTAGTGATGTGGTCCATAGTGATGTGGTCCATAGTGATGTGGTCCATAGTGATGTGGTCCATAGTGATGCGGTCCATAGTGATGCGGTCCATAGTGATGTGGTCCATAGTGGTCCATAGTGATGTGGTCCATAGTGATGTGGTCCATAGTGATGCGGTCCATAGTGCTGTGGTCCATAGTGATGCGGTCCATAGTGATGCGGTCCATAGTGCTGTGGTCCATTGTGCTGTGGTCCATAGTGATGTGGTCCATAGTGATGTGGTCCATAGTGATGTGGTCAATAGTAATGTGGTCCATAGTGATGTGGTCCATAGTGATGTGGTCAATAGTAATGTGGTCCATAGTGATGTGGTCCATAGTAATGTGGTCCATAGTGGTCCATAGTGATGTGGTCCATAGTGATTCGGCCCATAGTGATGCGGTCCATAGTGATGTGGTCCATTGTGATGTGGTCCATTGTGATGTGGTCCATAGTGATGTGGTCCATAGTGATGTGGTCCATAGTGATGTGGTCAATAGTAATGTGGTCCATAGTGGTCCATAGTGATGTGGTCCATAGTGATTCGGCCCATAGTGATGCGGTCCATAGTGATGCGGTCCATAGTGATGTGGTCCATAGTAATGTGGTCCATTGTGGTCCATAGTGATGTGGTCCATAGTGGTCCATAGTGATGCGGCCCATAGTGATGCGGTCCATAGTGATGCGGTCCATAGTAATGTGGTCCATAGTAATGTGGTCCATAGTGATGCGGCCCATAGTGATGTGGTCAATAGTAATGTGGTCCATAGTGATGTGGTCCATAGTGATGTGGTCAATAGTAATGTGGTCCATAGTGATGTGGTCCATAGTAATGTGGTCCATAGTGGTCCATAGTGATGTGGTCCATAGTGATTCGGCCCATAGTGATGCGGTCCATAGTGATGTGGTCCATTGTGATGTGGTCCATTGTGATGTGGTCCATAGTGATGTGGTCCATAGTGATGTGGTCCATAGTGATGTGGTCAATAGTAATGTGGTCCATAGTGGTCCATAGTGATGTGGTCCATAGTGATTCGGCCCATAGTGATGCGGTCCATAGTGATGCGGTCCATAGTGATGTGGTCCATAGTAATGTGGTCCATTGTGGTCCATAGTGATGTGGTCCATAGTGGTCCATAGTGATGCGGCCCATAGTGATGCGGTCCATAGTGATGCGGTCCATAGTAATGTGGTCCATAGTAATGTGGTCCATAGTGATGCGGCCCATAGTGATGTGGTCCATAGTGATGCGGTCCATAGTGATGTGGTCCATAGTGATGTGGTCCATAGTAATGTGGTCCATAGTAATGTGGTCCATAGTGATGTGGTCCATAGTGATGTGGTCCATAGTAATGTGGTCCATAGTGGTCCATAGTGATGTGGTCCATAGTGATGTGGTCCATAGTGATGCGGTCCATAGTAATGTGGTCCATTAGTGGTCCATAGTGGTCCATAGTGATGTGGTCCATAGTGATGTGGTCCATTGTGATGTGGTCCATAGTGATGTGGTCCATAGTGATGCGGTCCATAGTAATGTGGTCCATAGTGGTCCATAGTAATGTGGTCCATAGTGGTCCATAGTGGTCCATAGTGATGTGGTCCATAGTGATGTGGTACATAGTGATGTGGTCCATTGTGATGTGGTCCATAGTGATGTGGTCCATAGTGATGTGGTCCATAGTGATGTGGTCCATAGTGATGTGGTCCATAGTGGTCCATAGTGATGTGGTCCATAGTGATGTGGCCCATAGTGATGTGGTCCATAGTGGTCCATAGTGATGTAAGTAAGTAAGTTTTTATTTATATACCACCTTTTCACTGCAGATCTGAGTCTCAAAGCGGTTTACAATTGTTATTTTTGGGCATTTGTCTCTCACTCCACACAGAGATGGGAGCGGGGTCGCCAGTATAGGAGGCGCATGCCAGAACTATTGGACATATTTTTAGTGGTAGGGGAAACCGGAGTACCCGGAGGAAACCTACGCAGACACGGGGAGAACATGCAAACTCCACTCAGAAAGGCCCTGGTCCGACCGGGATTCGAACCCAGGACCTTCTTGCTGAGAGGCGAGAGTGCTAACCACTCAGCCACCGTGCCGCCCACGTGGTCCATAGTGATGCGGCCCATAGTGATGCGGTCCATAGTGATGTGGTCCATAGTGATGTGATCCATAGTGATGTGGTCCATAGTGATGTGGTCCATAGTGATGTGATCCATAGTGATGTGGTCCATAGTGATGTGGTCCATAGTGATGCGGTCCATAGTGGTCCATAGTGATGCGGTCCATAGTATGTGGTCCATAGTGATGTGGTCCATAGTGATGTGGTCCATAGTGATGTGGTCCATAGTGGTCCATAGTGATGTGGTCCATAGTGATGTGGTCCATAGTGATGCGGTCCATAGTGGTCCATAGTGATGTGGTCCGTAGTGATGTGGTCCATAGTGATGTGGTCCATAGTGATGTGGTCCATAGTGATGTGGTCCATAGTGATGCGGTCCATAGTGGTCCATAGTGATGCGGTCCATAGTGATGTGGTCCATAGTGGTCCATAGTGATGTGGTCCATAGTGATGTGGTCCATAGTGATGCGGTCCATAGTGCTGTGGTCCATAGTGATGCGGTCCATAGTGATGCGGTCCATAGTGCTGTGGTCCATTGTGCTGTGGTCCATAGTGATGTGGTCCATAGTGATGTGGTCCATAGTGATGTGGTCAATAGTAATGTGGTCCATAGTGATGTGGTCCATAGTGATGTGGTCAATAGTAATGTGGTCCATAGTGATGTGGTCCATAGTAATGTGGTCCATAGTGGTCCATAGTGATGTGGTCCATAGTGATTCGGCCCATAGTGATGCGGTCCATAGTGATGTGGTCCATTGTGATGTGGTCCATAGTGATGTGGTCCATAGTGATGTGGTCCATAGTGATGTGGTCAATAGTAATGTGGTCCATAGTGGTCCATAGTGATGTGGTCCATAGTGATTCGGCCCATAGTGATGCGGTCCATAGTGATGCGGTCCATAGTGATGTGGTCCATAGTAATGTGGTCCATTGTGGTCCATAGTGATGTGGTCCATAGTGGTCCATAGTGATGCGGCCCATAGTGATGCGGTCCATAGTGATGCGGTCCATAGTAATGTGGTCCATAGTAATGTGGTCCATAGTGATGCGGCCCATAGTGATGTGGTCCATAGTGATGCGGTCCATAGTGATGTGGTCCATAGTGATGTGGTCCATAGTAATGTGGTCCATAGTAATGTGGTCCATAGTGATGTGGTCCATAGTGATGTGGTCCATAGTAATGTGGTCCATAGTGGTCCATAGTGATGTGGTCCATAGTGATGTGGTCCATAGTGATGCGGTCCATAGTAATGTGGTCCATAGTGGTCCATAGTAATGTGGTCCATAGTGGTCCATAGTGATGTGGTCCATAGTGGTCCATAGTGATGTGGTCCATAGTGATGTGGTACATAGTGATGTGGTCCATTGTGATGTGGTCCATAGTGATGTGGTCCATAGTGATGTGGTCCATAGTGATGTGGTCCATAGTGGTCCATAGTGATGTGGTCCATAGTGATGTGGCCCATAGTGATGTGGTCCATAGTGGTCCATAGTGATGTAAGTAAGTAAGTTTTTATTTATATACCGCCTTTTCACTGCAGATCTGAGTCTCAAAGCGGTTTACAATTGTTATTTTTGGGCACTTGTCTCTCACTCCACACAGAGATGGGAGCAGGGTCGCCAGTACAGGAGGTGCATGCTAGAACTATTGGACATATTTTTAGTGGTAGGGGAAACCGGAGTACCCGGAGGAAACCTACGCAGACACGGGGAGAACATGCAAACTCCACTCAGAAAGGCCCTGGTCCGACCGGGATTCGAACCCAGGACCTTCTTTCTGAGAGGCGAGAGTGCTAACCACTCAGCCACCGTGCCGCCCACGTGGTCCATAGTGATGCGGCCCATAGTGATGCGGTCCATAGTGATGTGGTCCATAGTGATGTGATCCATAGTGATGTGGTCCATAGTGATGTGGTCCATAGTGATGTGGTCCATAGTGATGTGATCCATAGTGATGTGGTCCATAGTGATGTGGTCCATAGTGATGTGGTCCATAGTGATGCGGTCCATAGTGGTCCATAGTGATGCGGTCCATAGTATGTGGTCCATAGTGATGTGGTCCATAGTGATGTGGTCCATAGTGATGTGGTCCATAGTGGTCCATAGTGATGTGGTCCATAGTGATGTGGTCCATAGTGATGCGGTCCATAGTGGTCCATAGTGATGTGGTCCGTAGTGATGTGGTCCATAGTGATGTGGTCCATAGTGATGTGGTCCATAGTGATGCGGTCCATAGTGGTCCATAGTGATGCGGTCCATAGTGATGTGGTCCATAGTGGTCCATAGTGATGTGGTCCATAGTGATGTGGTCCATAGTGATGCGGTCCATAGTGCTGTGGTCCATAGTGATGCGGTCCATAGTGATGCGGTCCATAGTGCTGTGGTCCATTGTGCTGTGGTCCATAGTGATGTGGTCCATAGTGATGTGGTCAATAGTAATGTGGTCCATAGTGATGTGGTCCATAGTGATGTGGTCAATAGTAATGTGGTCCATAGTGATGTGGTCCATAGTAATGTGGTCCATAGTGGTCCATAGTGATGTGGTCCATAGTGATTCGGCCCATAGTGATGCGGTCCATAGTGATGTGGTCCATTGTGATGTGGTCCATTGTGATGTGGTCCATAGTGATGTGGTCCATAGTGATGTGGTCCATAGTGATGTGGTCAATAGTAATGTGGTCCATAGTGGTCCATAGTGATGTGGTCCATAGTGATTCGGCCCATAGTGATGCGGTCCATAGTGATGCGGTCCATAGTGATGTGGTCCATAGTAATGTGGTCCATTGTGGTCCATAGTGATGTGGTCCATAGTGGTCCATAGTGATGCGGCCCATAGTGATGCGGTCCATAGTGATGCGGTCCATAGTAATGTGGTCCATAGTAATGTGGTCCATAGTGATGCGGCCCATAGTGATGTGGTCCATAGTAATGTGGTCCATAGTAATGTGGTCCATAGTGATGCGGCCCATAGTGATGCGGTCCATAGTGATGTGGTCCATAGTGATGTGGTCCATAGTAATGTGGTCCATAGTAATGTGGTCCATAGTGATGTGGTCCATAGTGATGTGGTCCATAGTAATGTGGTCCATAGTGGTCCATAGTGATGTGGTCCATAGTGATGTGGTCCATAGTGATGCGGTCCATAGTAATGTGGTCCATAGTGGTCCATAGTGGTCCATAGTGATGTGGTCCATAGTGGTCCATAGTGATGTGGTCCATAGTGATGTGGTACATAGTGATGTGGTCCATTGTGATGTGGTCCATAGTGATGTGGTCCATAGTGATGTGGTCCATAGTGATGTGGTCCATAGTGATGTGGTCCATTGTGATGTGGTCCATAGTGATGCGGTCCATAGTGATGTGGTCCATAGTGATGTGGTCCATAGTGATGCGGTCCATAGTGCTGTGGTCCATAGTGATGTGGTCCATAGTGATGTGGTCCATAGTGATGCGGTCCATAGTGGTCCATAGTGATGTGGTCCATAGTGATGCGGTCCATAGCGATGCGGTCCATAGTGATGTGGTCCATAGTGATGTGGTCCATAGTGATGTGGTCCATAGTGATGTGGTCCATAGTGATGCGGTCCATAGTGATGCGGTCCATAGTGATGCGGTCCATAGTGGTCCATAGTGATGTGGTCCATAGTGATGCGGTCCATAGTGATGCGGTCCATAGCGATGTGGTCCATAGCGATGTGGTCCATAGTGATGTGGTCCATAGTGATGTGGTCCATAGTGATGCGGTCCATAGCGATGTGGTCCATAGCGATGTGGTCCATAGTGATGTGGTCCATAGTGGTCCATAGTGATGTGGTCCATAGCGATGCGGTCCATAGTGATGTGGTCCATAGTGGTCCATAGCGATGTGGTCCATAGTGATGTGGTCCATAGTGATGCGGTCCATTGTGATGTGGTCCATAGTGATCTGGTCCATAGTGGTCCATAGTGCTGTGGTCCATAGTAATGTGGTCCATAGTGATGTGGTCCATAGTGCTGTGGTCCATAGTGATGTGGTCCATAGTGGTCCATAGTGATGTAAGTAAGTAAGTTTTTATTTATATACCACCTTTTCACTGCAGATCTGAGTCTCAAAGCGGTTTACAATTGTTATTTTTGGGCACTTGTCTCTCACTCCACACAGAGATGGGAGCGAAGTCGCCAGTACAGGAGGTGCATGCTAGAACTATTGGACATATTTTTAGTGGTAGGGGAAACCGGAGTACCCGGAGGAAACCTACGCAGACACGGGGAGAACATGCAAACTCCACTCAGAAAGGCCCTGGTCCGACCGGGATTCGAACCCAGGACCTTCTTTCTGAGAGGCGAGAGTGCTAACCACTCAGCCACCGTGCCGCCCACGTGGTCCATAGTGATGCGGCCCATAGTGATGCGGTCCATAGTGATGTGGTCCATAGTGATGTGATCCATAGTGATGTGGTCCATAGTGATGTGGTCCATAGTGATGTGGTCCATAGTGATGTGATCCATAGTGATGTGGTCCATAGTGATGTGGTCCATAGTGATGTGGTCCATAGTGATGCGGTCCATAGTGGTCCATAGTGATGCGGTCCATAGTGATGTGGTCCATAGTGATGTGGTCCATAGTGATGTGGTCCATAGTGATGTGGTCCATAGTGGTCCATAGTGATGTGGTCCATAGTGATGCGGTCCATAGTGGTCCATAGTGATGTGGTCCGTAGTGATGTGGTCCATAGTGATGTGGTCCATAGTGATGCGGTCCATAGTGGTCCATAGTGATGCGGTCCATAGTGATGTGGTCCATAGTGGTCCATAGTGATGTGGTCCATAGTGATGTGGTCCATAGTGATGCGGTCCATAGTGATGCGGTCCATAGTGGTCCATAGTGATGCGGTCCATAGTGGTCCATAGTGATGCGGTCCATAGTGATGTGGTCCATAGTGGTCCATAGTGATGTGGTCCATAGCGATGCGGTCCATAGTGATGTGGTCCATAGTGATGCGGTCCATAGTGATGTGGTCCATAGTGGTCCATAGTGATGGGTATCATAGCAATGTGGTCCATGGCGATGTGGTCCATAGTGGTGTGGTCCATAGTGATGTGGTCCATAGTGGTCCATAGTAATGTGGTCCATAGTGGTCCATAGTGGTCCATAGTGATGTGGTCCATAGTGGTCCATAGTGATGTGGTCCATAGTGTAGTAAGTAAGTAGTAAGTAATCTTTATTTATATACCGCCTTTTCACTGCACATCAGAGTCTCAAAGCGGTTTACAATCGTTATTTTTTGGGAGCGGGGTCGCCAGTACAGGAGGCACATGCCAGACCTATTGTACATATTTTTAGTGGTAGGGGAAACCGGAGCACCCGGAGGAAACCTACGCAGACACGGGGAGAACATGCAAACTCCACTCAGAAAGGCCCTGGTCCAACCGGGATTTGAACCCAGGACCTTCTTGCTGAGAGGCGAGAGTGCTAACCACTCAACCATCGTGCCGCCCTAGTGATGTGGTCCATAGTGATGTGGTCCATAGTAATGTGGTCCATAGTGATGTGGTCCATAGTGGTCCATAGTGATGTGGTCCATAGCGATGTGGTCCATAGTGATGTGGTCCATAGTGATGTGGTCCATAGCGATGTGGTCCATAGTGATGTGGTCCATAGTGATGTGGTCCATAGTGGTCCATAGTGATGTGGTCCATAGCGATGTGGTCCATAGTGGTCCATAGTGATGTGGTCCATAGCGATGTGGTCCATAGCGATGTGGTCCATAGTGATGTGGTCCATAGTGATGTGGTCCATAGTGATGTGGTCCATAGTGATGTGGTCCATAGTGATGTGGTCCATAGCCATGTGGTCCATAGTGGTCCATAGTGATGTGGTCCATAGCGATGTGGTCCATAGTGGTCCATAGTGATGTGGTCCATAGTGGTCCATAGTGATGTGGTCCATAGTGGTCCATAGTGATGTGGTCCAACAGTTCAGCTGTTGATATAAACAGACTTTCACCATTTCTCTGTTCAAAACACTTCAGTAGTTTGTGAGAATTGTGCATTAATTATATAACAATTAATATAATAAAACGTATTATTAATATCCTTACTTTTTTTCTAAAACATTTATACTTTAATTATTATTGTAATAGTGTTTATTATCATTCATTACACTTTTTATTTATTGACATGACACTTTTAGGGTTTTTTTCTCCTTAATAATTTTCTTGTTATGGTTTTGACCCATTTTGCCTCAAACATAGTTTATAGAAACCATTTATATATCACAGTTTGTATACAAGGCTCCATACATGTCCGAGATTTTAGACCAGAGTCTGAGGCCTGTCCCCGCAGCTCTCACGCTGCTCTACCGCCCCCTCCTGGTCAGACTGGGACAGCACAGCACAGTGTTACAGTCACGACCGAGGGGGAGGAGCTACGTCACTGCAGATTTAAATTCATATAAAATAATGACGTAGAAATAAACTAAAGACCACAAAGGTAAATAAAGTTATACACTTGTAAAACTAAAACCCGTCAAATTGACTGCTCTGGGAGATTAAAACACTGCTGTATGTGCTGCTAGAATGTGATGTTAGATTTTTATGCTAATGAACGTGATGAACTGATTCTGTTATAACTTATATCATTCACTTATCGAGGGAAAGAGGTTGTTATGGGTTACTAAGTATCAGAGAAGCTTTGAGGACCATAACATTTAATTTAACATTTCATATTTGCAAACTCTTGGTATTGGTACCAAGAGTTTGGTACTAGAGACCAGAGAGAGACCAGAGAGAGACCAGAGAGAGAGACCAGAGAGAGAGACCAGAGAGAGACCAGAGAAGACCAGAGAGACCAGAGAGAGAGACCAGAGAGAGACCAGAGAGAGACCAGAGAGAGACCAGAGAGAGACCAGAGAGAGACCAGAGAGAGACCAGAGAGAGACCAGAGAGAGACCAGAGAGAGACCAGAGAGAGACCAGAGAGAGACCAGAGAGAGACCAGAGAGAGACCAGAGAGAGACCAGAGAGAGACCAGAGAGAGACCAGAGAGAGAGAGAAGAGAGAGAGAGAGACCAGAGAGAGACCAGAGAGAGACCAGAGAGAGACCAGAGAGAGACCAGAGAGAGACCAGAGAGAGACCAGAGAGAGACCAGAGAGACCAGAGAGAGAGACCAGAGAGAGACCAGAGAGAGACCAGAGAGAGACCAGAGAGAGACCAGAGAGAGACCAGAGAGACCAGAGAGAGACCCCCCACAGTGAAGCTAACCTCTTTCTCTCTTCTTCAGCTGTTATAACTGTGGCGGTCTGGACCATCACGCCAAGGAGTGCGGCCTGCCCCCTCAGCCAAAGAAATGCCACTACTGCCAGAGCGCCACGCACATGGTGGCCCAGTGTCCGCACAAGGCTTTAGCGCCCCCCTCAGGATGTGCGGAGGCGCAGCACCTGGGCGCTCCAGAGGAGGAGGAGGGCTCGGGCTCCTCCCCCCGCGACGCCTCCTCTTCGTCCCCAGAGGAGGCCCCTGCGGCGAGGGCCCTGCGCTCACGACGCTGGAGGAAGTGCTGAAGAAGAACCAACGTCTGCAACAAGCATCATCTACCTCGCCCAAGCCACGGGAGGATCGGGGGGACCGCGACACCGGGGGGACCGCGACACACCGCGACACCGGGGGGACCGCGACACCGCACCTCAGAACCTAAGATTCAGAGAAAGTGCCTCGTCCTTTATCCTTCCTCCACTGAACAAAATGCATTTTACGTTCAGAAAAACCTCTGAAGTCCATGAAATAGAAAGTTCAGTATTTTAAAGGTAAAGTCTTGAAAATCATAGAAAAACCCAATTTCTTTGAAAAAACCCTTTGAAGGAAATTCAAGGTTTCACCAGATCAGTGCGAAGGAGAAGGAAGGAGGGATTTTTATGAATCTGACACAGTGTATTCTGTGAGAGCCAAGATGGAGGGCAGGGGCCGCTCAGGGGCCGCTCAGGGGCCGAGACCATCACAGCTGGTTATTACTGCACCATACAACCTTCTGTCAACATAAGCCTCATTTCCACCAGCTCTACTCTGTCCTTCTTTAGTCCCTCTTGGTCCTGGTTCTGTCCAGGCCAAGCTGTACTAAAGTGTTCTAACTGACAGTGATTGGTCAGCGAGCTAATGGAAGCCATGGTTACCAAGGAATTTCACTGGATACAGGACCAGACACTAAAGCTGGTGGAAATGATGTTTTTAATGATAGTTTTTCCGCTGACTCAAACTTCTTTCAACGAGACAAAAACAAAACAATACAATAATACGGTTTAGTTTTTTTGTTTTCAGATTATATTTACAAACTAAATAAAAGTGCGACTGCCCTCCATCGCGGCAGAGTGGCCCCGTCCTCCCCTCCACATCCTCCCCCTCCCCCCTTTTGTTACTGAAGCAGCTAATGCTAGCTAAAGCAGCTAAAGCTAGGATCTCGGGGTTCCTGTTTTGAATGTTTGAGTTCGCTGCAAAGGGACCTGCAGGGAAAGACTTTTAATGTTTGGATTCAGCGCAGCTCCACAAATAATGTATGAAATGTTTTTCTTCGGACCTACACTTTGGCCTCTGATTGTCGATGTTTGTATCGTTCTATGTTACTTTAGCCGCACTGCAACAAATGGATTGTTTTAAAATGACTTGAATTCAGGTCGATTCTGACCAGTTCAGATTCACAAGACCTACCTCCTCTTTGGCCAACGCATCGTCTTAAAGGTGATGTCTGTAACTTCAAAGCTTCATAGAACTGGACCTGTGTAAAGGTACATTATGTCCACATATAAGCTGCACTTGAATACAAGCCACAGACTGATTTAAACTGAATTAATGACAAGGTTTTAAAGCTAAAACTAAATAACACAACGAACTCTGAGGCAAACATTCAAACCTGTTAGCATGCTTATCTTAGCTGTTAGCATGCTTATCTTAGCTGTTAGCATGCTTATCTTAGCTGTTAGCATGCTTACCTTAGCTGTTAGCATGCTTACCTTAGCTGTTAGCATGCTTACCTTAGCTGTTAGCATGCTTATCTTAGCTGTTAGCATGCTTATCTTAGCTGTTAGCATGCTTACCTTAGCTGTTAGCATGCTTATCTTAGCTGTTAGCATGCTTATCTTAGCTGTTAGCATGCTTATCTTAGCTGTTAGCATGCTTATCTTAGCTGTTAGCATGCTTATCTTAGCTGTTAGCATGCTTATCTTAGCTGTTAGCATGCTTATCTTAGCTGTTAGCATGCTTACCTTAGCTGTTAGCATGCTTATCTTAGCTGTTAGCATGCTTACCTTAGCTGTTAGCATGCTTATCTTAGCTGTTAGCATGCTTACCTTAGCTGTTAGCATGCTTATCTTAGCTGTTAGCATGCTTACCTTAGCTGTTAGCATGCTTATCTTAGCTGTTAGCATGCTTACCTTAGCTGTTAGCATGCTTATCTTAGCTGTTAGCATGCTTACCTTAGCTGTTAGCATGCTTATCTTAGCTGTTAGCATGCTTACCTTAGCTGTTAGCATGCTTATCTTAGCTGTTAGCATGCTTACCTTAGCTGTTAGCATGCTTATCTTAGCTGTTAGCATGCTTACCTTAGCTGTTAGCTTCCATCTCAGGGCTCAATAACTGGTATTTAGAGAAGAAACAAGCGTCCTATTTCTACTAAAACTCAAAATATACATCATCATCGTTTCCATTTTGAAATAACAGCTATTTTTGACCTCGTAGCGTCATGTACAAGTGTTTGGCTTGTCCCTCCGATAGCAATGTATACAATGTATACAATGTATACATATTAACACACGTTTAAAATGGCCGACACACACTGACGCCTGTTTGGTGTCAATGTGGGGACGGAGACTGCGCACTAATAATCAAATCCTCAAATTCAGATCGTAGAATCCAAAAAGTGGCTTCTCCTTCAGTGCCTACAATGATACGCACAGATCCTCGTGATAATCCCCCATGTTGGCCTTGTCCCTTTTATTTAAACAACCTTTTTTGGCCTTTGTTGTGCCTTCAAGCTTGTCTCCTGACGTCTCTTCTAGGTGAGCTCGGCCTTTTAAGAAGTTTTGAAGTTACTGACATTCACTTTGATTCAGTATTTTTCTTGTGACAAACCAGAAATGCCTTGAAACCAGTGAATAGTTCCAGTCTGCACGCAGTAAGCAAATACAAGCTAGCAACAAGAAAAAACACCTGAATTCAAGTCAAGTTTAAGCCTGACAAGAGATTCCATGTTAGCGTGGTGCGATAACTGGTCTCAGACCCGGACCTCCGCAGACTCCACGGCGATCGTCCGGGGGGTTTCTCTCTTTCGTGAGCTGTTCTTTATATTGTTTTGTACACATTACTCAAGCTACATACTTCTCATGGACCAGACCAGTCGATTGTCGCGTACAACTGTAGAAAAAGCCTTTGTTTTTGCCATAATGTCAAACGGTGGAAGGATAATGGACCAGAGAATGTATTTCAAACCGGGTTATTTTCAACCTATTCCTTAATCGTCTATTTCTATATTATCTCACTCATTATTATTCAGAACAATGAAATCTTTTCAGTGAGAGCCTAAGGCCGAGCTGGACCTTCAGATCCCGGTGTGTCGCTAAAGACGGCCCTTAAACCTTTCCCAAACGTCCATTATGCTTCCACTTCCCTGTTATTAAAACTACTATCCTTTCTGATGGCGAATATCATAGTTAGAGATGCCTTAGACAACGTATTATCACGTAGCTAGCTAACGAATCAACGCCCATTAGCATTCTAGACTTGTGTTTTGCCCTAGCTGAAAATAACATTATAAATTATAGTATAAGTCATTAATATATATATCACTGAAAAAGCTCTATTAACTTTAAGTATATGAGGATGTAGTGTGGCCCTGTTGATGCTAGTCCTGTTTTTATTTTGTTTTATCACAAACTCAGCCTCAGACCGTAACAGTCGCTGCTCAGATGTACACTTTACCTCGGGGTTTCTCTCACTGCAGGAGAAACATGTAACGAATGTGGCAGAAGACGCTGCCCACGCTCCTACGCCTGTGCCTACAGCCTCATATGTACTGTTAGCCCGCTAGCTAGCACCGGCCGGCCGCGTCCATGTGGTTACTATGGGAGAGGGTGACGCCGCTGCAGCTGCACTTACCAGACGAGAGGGGCTCGGCTGTGTGGGTTTTGATGGCGCGCTTTGGGACCAGTTCAGACCAGATTGACTCAGAACAGACTTGATCCTGACTCCAGATGAGATCATTTTTACTTCACATGAAAAGTTTAGACAAAAATGATCAAATCTGAGGTAATAATCGCTTGAATTGAATGTTTTTTATCTTAATGTGACACATTCTGAGTTTAAACAAGTCATTTAGTCTGTTTTCTTTATTTCCTCATTCCAAGGGAGACACTTCTGTATCTTTTTAAAACAGATAGTTTTGCTTCGTCCCATCGGTAAATCTTGTTTTAACCTTCTCCAGACGTTGCAGATTTGCAACAGCTTCATTTCTTCTTACCAAATTCCTCCACATCCATTTGTTTGACCCTTGGTTCCTCAGAAGTACCACTGCTGGACTGAGCTTTAGTAACAGATCTCCACCTGCTCACCAGGGGGCGCTGTCTCACTTCCAAAATCTCAGTCAGTCAAAACAGATTTTCTAGGAATCATTTTCAAGTCAGCTTGACGACCGACCTCTGTTAAAGTGAAACTAAAACTGCATCACAGGAAAGATGAATATTTATAGATACAGTTCCTGGTGATTGGTAGATTATATCTCCTCTGGCCCAATGTTGCAAATCTGCAACATCCCAGAATGCATTGTCTGTGAAAGTCTCTCTCTGTAATTCAAATGTAAATGGGCCTGAGGGGATTACAGTCAGAATGTGCTCACTTTACGATACATTTTGCCAAATTTGAGCAAATGTTTTACTTATATTTTATAACTTTTTGCAGTGTTTTGTCACATCAGTTAAACATTTGGACCTGGACCAACTTTAGACAAACTTAGATCCTTTTGAATCAGCAACATCAGAAACCCAGGGACAGTGACATAGTCTGACCTCAGACATGTTCGACGTCATGACTTCAGAAATATCTGAACATTTGTAACAGAATTGGCTCAGATTCAGTATTCGACCATTTGCAGTAAAACCCCATTGGAATAACTGAGCAGGACCACCTCAGGGTGCTCCACGTTGTTGCCATTGGTCCTTAGAGCGATCTGACTGTTAAAGCTGTGACTGGTGCTGAGCGTGACCTCTGACCCAACACCTCTGTGTCCGACACCTCTCTGACCTGACACCTCTCTGTCCAACACCTCTCTGACCCGACACCTCTGACCCGAAACTCTGTCCGACACCTCTCTGACCCGACACCTCTCTGACGACGCCTCTCGGACGACACCTCTCTGACCCGACACCTCTGACCCCACACACTCTCTGACCCGACACACTCTCTGACCCGACACCTCTCTGACCCGACACCTCTCTGACCCAACACCTCTCTGACGACGCCTCTCTGACCCAACACCTCTCTGACGACACCTCTCTGACGACACCTCTCTGACCCAACACCTCTCTGATGACGCCTCTGACGACACCTCTCTGACCCAACACGTCTCTGACGACGCCTCTCTGACGACACCTCTCTGACCCAACACGTCTCTGACGACGCCTCTCTGACGACACCTCTCTGACCCAACACGTCTCTGACGACGCCTCTCTGACGACACCTCTCTGACCCAACACGTCTGACGACGCCTCTCTGACGACACCTCTCTGACCCGACACGTCTCTGACGACGCCTCTCTGACGACACCTCTCTGACCCGACACGTCTCTGACGACGCCTCTCTGACGACACCTCTCTGACCCGACACCTCTCTGACGACACCTCTCTGACGACACCTCTCTGACCCAACACGTCTCTGACGACGCCTCTCTGACGACACCTCTCTGACCCAACACGTCTCTGACGACGCCTCTCTGACGACACCTCTCTGACCCAACACGTCTGACGACGCCTCTCTGACGACACCTCTCTGACCCGACACGTCTCTGACGACGCCTCTCTGACGACACCTCTCTGACCCGACACCTCTCTGACGACACCTCTCTGACGACACCTCTCTGACCTGACACCTCTCTGACCCAACACCTTTCTGACCCAACACGTCTCTGACGACACCTCTCTGACCCAACACCTCTCTGACCCAACACGTCTCTGACGACACCTCTCTGACCGACACCTCTCTGACCGACACCTCTCTGACCCGACACCTCTGACCCGACAGACTGACCATAGAGCTGTCCGAGGATATCAAAGAGGCTAGCTTGAAGAGGTCTAAAGGTTGAAACTCTGGTTCAGGACCTAGTTCTCGAGGACTTAGACCGAGCTTTAAACCACCAAGCTGACACTGACCTCGGAGCAGCAGCTCTAAACCGAGCTCTAAAGTCAGTGTTTCCTCTCAGTGTAACGTCTAACTGCTACACTCCTGACTCCAGGATGTGACCTTTTACTCATCTGGTTCGTTATTATCAACTGTGTGGAAGAAGGTGGGCCCCCTCCCTCACTGGGCCCCCTCCCTCACTTGGCCCCCTCCCTCACTGGGCTCCTCCCTCACCAGGGCCGCTCCCTCACTGGGCTCCTCCCACACCAGGGCCTCTCCCTCACTGGGGCCCCTCCATTCAGTTGAAAATACAAGAAAATAATGAATAGTGTATTTCCGATGTTTTCCTCTGGCACTGGCCCCGCCTCCTTCTACACTGGCCCCGCCTCCTTCTACACAGTCCGCTAAGACGAGCGACCAAACACCCAGAGCACAGCGCTTCACGACTCCGTTTTTTTTATGGTGTATTTTATTTTATTTTTGACATTTTGACACAATCCCTCTCAGGATGAACTGTTCTCAGGGAATTCACCAAAACAACCTCCTCCTCTGTGATGTACTGATTAGCAACTACCTCTTTAAGTTTGACATAGTTGTGCGTTTGTGTGTGTGTGTGTTAACAGTAGTGTGTGGTGCTGAAGGTGACGTTGTGTTACGTCTCCTGGTCTTCCTTCTTTCCTTTGGTTGTTTCTGAGACAAGACCGCCAAGGCCTACCTCATGCTCCTCTACCTCCTCCTGCACCTCCTCATGACCCGACCAGGCCTCCTCTACCTCCTCATGACCCGACCAGGCCTCCTCTACCTCCTCCTGCACCTCCTCATGACCCAACCAGGCCTCCTCTACCTCCTCCTGCACCTCCTCATGACCCAACCAGGCCTCCTCTACCTCCTCCTGCACCTCCTCATGACCCAACCAGGCCTCCTCTACCTCCTCCTGCACCTCCTCATGACCCAACCAGGCCTTCTCTACCTCCTCCTGCACCTCCTCATGACCCAACCAGGCCTCCTCTACCTCCTCCTGCACCTCCTCATGACCCGACCAGGCCTCCTGCACCTCCTCCTCTACCATCTCATCTGTCTCCTCCACCTCCTCTGCCACAGACCAGGCCCCCTCTACACCTCCACCTCCTCCTCTACCTCCCCCACTGCCACAGACCAGGAAGCCTGTACCTCCTCCTCCGTGATTCGCTGCTCAAAGTCTACAATGTAAATGCTCCGCCTCTTTGCTGTGATTAGTTTTTTCTCTTTTTATGAAACTGTTTAAAGAAGAAATATTATGTTCATTATTCTTCATCAGTCACAGACCTGGAGCTGTGTTTAGATCCATCCAGGATCCGCCCCTTCTGTCTCATGCTGTGTTCGACATCACTGTGACGTCACTATGACATCACACTTGTAAAAACAAACATATCGCCCATGATGGAAACACCGACCTGTGATTGTAAAAAAATCCGACTTCAGACTTTCACATTAGTATAAAAAGCATAATACGTCTTCTTTAATCTGTGATTTAAGTTTCTTTTATAAAACTGCAGTAATCGATGTTGTCCTTCATCCTTTGATCAGGTCCCGTTGATGGTGTCCAACCCTTCGATGGTTCTAGTCTGTCTCCGTGACGCTGTCGTAGAAGAACATAGTGTAGGACCATGTTTGTTCAGGAGCACAGTCCATTTAATGTCTTGCTAAAGTTGGGATTGAACCATCAACTGTGAGGTTCATTTACAGAGAGCGTTCTCCAGGGACCAGGTGGATCTCTGACTAGTCTGTGTCTGAGGTTCCATGGTGTCCTAATGTGAAAGAGGACGTAGAGTGGCCATAGACTGTATCTGAGGACATCGCTAAAGTGTTGGCGCAAATGGGCTTCTTCCACATTAGAGCTAACTTTAGAGCTAGCTTAAACAGGCTACATCAGCGCCAATCAGGAGCCAAATGTCTGCGGGGTTTGTTGATAGCAACGGCCGAGTTACCAGGAGCCAATCAGGAGCGGCGCTGGTCTATCCCATGGATCTATAATAATATCTGGATAGGGTAATACTAGCTTATAGCTGTCCCCCCCACGGTATGTAAACTAAAACAGACCTCAGCCGACAGAGAACCTGACAGAGAACCTACAGCTTTCATAAAGGAGGCTCTGTGGATGTTAGTGTCTCTTGTCGTCCTCATTTTCGGTTTTCTATAAATCCACACTTTAGTGAATCAGACTGGTTGTTTCCTTCCCACTCTGGCTCCGCTCTGATCAGCAGCTCTGATTGGTCAGAACGCTGCATGAGAGACACACTGAAGCATGACCAAATATGGGCGAGTTCCACTAATTCTTCAGTGCCCGTGTAGGTCCCATGAGCACAAGTCACTGATTTGAACTGGCGGCCATCTTGTATCCACACTTGCGCTACTTGCCGCTAAACCCAAATTCGGCAACCGGAGGCTCCTGATTGGTCGACTGATTGGACAGTATCACAATAAACTCCAGGATCAAAAACAGTCACTTTTACACGGAAGTCGATCAGAGCCAGAGGAAGATGGAGCTGAATTCACTGAGCTAGCGCGTTAGCATCGTCCACCTGTGTACAGTCTATGGCCCTCGCTAACAGGAAGCTAACGAAGCATGACACTGCCCTTCCCCCACACCAGAAGAATCAGTATAGTCTTGTTTACTTTCGCTTTCGTCTTGCATTGTCCTTTCAGAGCCGCAGATAATCAAGTTCGGAGCCTGTTTTTCGGAGACAGTGACTTTTGTACCGATGATAGTTTTTGTACGAACTCGTGAGGCGCAGTGTTAGAATCAGGCAAGGACTGAACATATATAGTAATTATTATTATTATTATAAGTAGCTTTATATATTCCTCCAATCAACGTAACTACTGATGGTGTCTGGGTCAGTGAAAGCGACGCCTTGATTTTTCGTTTGGCGCAGCACGACAGAAGCGAAGCCTGCGTCTCTAAAGCAAATTAAAACCGGTTCTTTCAGCTCAGAAAATAAAAATGCAGTATTTATTGTGACCCGAGAATCGTCTCTGCTCAGAATCCAGCTTTGAATGTATTTCATGTAGAATTTGGTCGTTTTGGTTTTTAGTTTCTGAGCTGAACGTAAATGTTTTCGTCCTTTTCGAGTTTGAATCATGTAAAAATATAAGTCTTTGTTCAGGATTTGTTAAAAAGTTTTATTTAGTGAATCTGAAGTTTAATGTTAACTCGATATAAACTCTCAACTGTATTTATGTTTCAGTTGGTCTCCCTCCCTTTGGTCTCTCTCTCTCTGGTCTTTCTCTCACTCTCTGGGATCTCTCCCTCTGGTCTCTCTCTCTCTGGTCTCCCTCTGGTCTCTCTCTCTCCCTCTCTGGGATCTCTCTCTCTGGTCTTTCTCTCTCTCGCTGGTCTCTCTCTCTCTCTCTCTGGTCTCTCCTCCTCTCTCGCATCTCTCTCTCTGGGGTCTCTACCTCTGCTCTCCCTCTGGTCTCTCTCTCTCTGGTCTCTCTCTCTGGGGTCTCTACCTCTGCTCTCCCTCTGGTCTCTCTCTCTCTGGGGCTTCTACCTCTGCTCTCCCTCTGGTCTCTCTCTCTCTCTCCCTCTCTGGTCTCTCTCTCTGGGGTCTCTACCTCTGCTCTCCCTCTGGTCTCTCTCTCTCTGGGGTCTCTACCTCTGCTCTCCCTCTGGTCTCTCTCTCTCTGGTCTCTCTCTCTCCCTCTCTGGTCTCTCTCTCTGGGGTCTCTCCCTCTCTCCCTCTGGTCTCTCTCTCTCTGGTCTCTCTCTCTCCCTCTCTGGTCTCTCTCTCTGGGGTCTCTACCTCTGCTCTCCCTCTGGTCTCTCTCTCTCTGGTCTCTCTCCCTCTCTCCGGTCTCTCCTTCTCCGGCCTTCCTCGCCGCTCTCTTTAACCACACATGACGGGTGTAATCTGTGAATGACCGAGACGTAACAACATTTTTACCTCATCGCTGCCTTTGATCCGTGAACGTGCTGTTATTTTCTAAAAGCACTGATTCTTTTGAAGCCGAGAATGGATTTCATTTTGACTCATGAAACAAAAGAACTGCCTTCGTTTGTGAATCTTTCAAATAAATGTCTTAAATGTTCTACTTGATTGGAAAATAAACCTATTATATTGGCATTAAAATATGTATAATTTCCTACTACATCCTGCTCTGTGTGTTTTCTCACCGTCCAGAGTGTGACATCACCTTAGCCCAGGGGTCTCTAACCTACGGCTCGGAAGCTAGCTGTAGCTCACCAGCCCCTTTCAGGTAGCTCCCCAAAGGACTTAATTTGTGTTCTCTCGTCTTAATGCATAGATTTTTAAAAAGGAGTAGCTCTCAGCCTCTTCTGTTAAATAAAAGTAGCTCTCTGATTGAAAAAGGTTGGACACCTGAGCGTTCGCCAAATGCAGATGAAGCTAATTCGATCATATGCTAGCTGGAGACAATTTCCTTATAAGGGTATTTCTTCCAATGGGGTTTATGTGGGTAACAACGTCCTAGCAACCAAAGAGCCAATCAGCCAAAGCCAAAGTCTGTTCTTGCGCGTGCTAATCACTAGCCAAAAGCTAAATATCGGGACTGACAGTTCGTGATTGACAAGTCAATAGGAGCCAGAACGAGCTCCATACAGTCTGCGTCCATGTGACATCACAACGTCCCAAGAGCCTATGGTTTCAGTGTTGGAGGCTGAACACTTTCCTGGTGTCTGTGAGAAGAGTCAAAAGTCCACAGGAACCAAAAGTTAGTTGAGCTTCATAGAGCTAGCAGGTTAGCATCGTCTGTCCATACCAGGTGTATGGTCGCAAAGCTGACATTTCGTGGGTTTATTTAAAGGTTTTATTAAAATGTAGTTTGTTAGAGATTAGCCAAAACCTTCCAGTGCAGTGTCCTCCCTCTTCGTGAGCTCCTATCAGATACACATTAAACACGCAGTCACACCTATCTCCACAATTGTAACTAATGTGACATCACTTTACCTTTTGTGGCTTTTTCAAAATGGCCACAGGGAAAATGTGAAAAACCTCATTTGTGCATTAGCTGCATGAGCCTCATTCATTTAATAAGTGCATTTAAAAGTCTACAGCGACTAAACTAGACTGTTCTAAAAACATACTCCCCTCAGACAGCATCTGGAACCAAGAGGACCAAGAGCCACTTTAGGTCCATCCTGTAAAGACATTTTCCAGAGGAAAGAAGACACTATACAAAAGCATTTGGGTAATTCTCTTTCCGGGTACACCCCCACAGGCCCGGAGTGAGTGCACGTGCTCACGCTGGTCACAACACAAAAGAACAACACAAGTATCAGAGAACCATTTATTGAACGACTTCATTTCAATTTTAAAAACAGCACCAAAGTCAGAGGTAGAAATCAACACACGCACACAAACACACACTCACAAACAGACACACACAAGCACACACACACACACACACACACACACACACACACAAACTTTCCAAAAATTATGTCAGTGACTTTAGCAGCCCCATAAACACATAACCACGTTAGCTCTAGTAGCATTAGTGGTGCTAGCTTAACCGCTCTCAGTCTGAGCAGAGCTAAGAAAAAACTTCAAAGATTATTGTTTTTAAATCAAGCATAAAATCAAAAGCTGCTTTAAAAAAATCTATTTTATTTCAGAATATTAGTTTTAGCCCTCAGAGTCAACAGTTCACATCACAGACTGTACATCAGGAGAGGACCGAGTGTGACATCACCACAGTGTGACATCACTACAGTGTGACATCACCACAGTGTGACATCACCACAGTGTGACATCACCACAGTGTGACATCACCACAGTGTGACATCACCACAGTGTGACATCACAGTGTTAGCCGAATGTTGAAGCAGCAGATATGAAGTTTCCTTATATGGCCATTTTTTGCAACACTGCCCCTTTAAGGTCGCCAAGCTAAGACGGTTGCTAGGGCTCGAGCGATCCGATTGGTCGAACCTGATACGGCTCTACAAACAGAATCATAAACACAGGATCGGTTACAGAGCTTAAAGCTGCACTAACTGACTTTGGGATTTTGAAGCCGCGGACTCGCTGGCCTCTTTCTGCTCCCCTCCCCGCACCCACGAAGCTATCGCCCACACACACACATTCACTGCTGTTGACGGAGCTAGTGTCTCTCAATATGGATAATACATGGATATGGATTTGCACGTGGATGCCGTGACCATAGAACGATAGAACCGGGAAGTGCGGAGGAACGAGACTTTCTTTTGGATGGCTGTCTCGCTGTGTAAGCAGTACCCGTGACGAAGACACACGAAGCTTCAGGTTAGCTCCTCGGCTTGTTGTGCTAACTCAGCCGTCTATGCTAACAGACCTGTAGATTTCTCACGAAAGTGGGGGCCAGTGGTCCGCTGTGATTGGTCACAATCTGGTCCTGAAACACATTCTCTTCCTTGTTTCATCAAAACTCGATCTAAAATATAATGTTACGCCAGCACAAATCTGCGCTACTTTTTCTTCTAAAGGACGTATATCCCACTGCCCTACATGGACATGGATGTACTTTAGTAATGAATACAAAAATAAAGTTAGTGCAGCTTGAAGGATGTTACTTTGACACATAAGCCAATAGGAGCAAAACTTTGTCCATGAGCACTTCTCCGTTAGGCTTCATTGGGCTAGCGTGTTAGCATGGTCCATCTGTGTACAGTCTGTGGTCTCTACTGTAAGGACATTAGTCAGTTATATTTGTTTTACATGTGTCAAAATGAATAGTTTTTACAAATTCAATGGATTCAAACACAAACCGGTCGTTGCATAAAGTCAGATTTATTCCCTTTTTATCTCCATTATTGGATCTGAACCAAGTGGGTCATAAACTCATGACATCAGACAGTTTATGCTCTGTAGCCTTTACGCTGTACGCACGGCTTTTGACAGCTGCAGCAGCACTAGGACCTACAACCAACAGGTTTGATATATATGGTGGCTCTGGTCTCTCTCTCTCTCCGGTCTCTCTCTCTCTCTGGTCTCTCTCTCTCTCCGGTCTCTCTCTCTCTCTGGTCTCTCTCTCTCTCTGGTCTCTCTCTCTCTCCGGTCTCTCTCTCTCTCCGGTCTCTCTCTCTCTCCGGTCTCTCTCTCTCTCCGGTCTCTCTCTCTCTCTCCGGTCTCTCTCTCTCTCCGGTCTCTCTCTCTCTCCGGTCTCTCTCTCTCTCCGGTCTCTCTCTCTCTCCGGTCTCTCTCTCTCTCTGGTCTCTCTCTCTCTCTGGTCTCTCTCTCTGGTCTCTCTCTCTGGTCTCTCTCTCTCCGGTCTCTCTCTGGTCTCTCTCTCTCTCTCTCTCTCTCTATCTCTCTGGTCTCTCTCTCTCTATCTCTCTGGTCTCTCTCTCTCTCTCTCTCTGGTCTCTCTCTCTGGTCTCTCTCTCTGGTCTCTCTCTCTGGTCTCTCTCTGGTCTCTCTCTCTGGTCTCTCTCTCTAGTCTCTCTCTCTAGTCTCTCTCTCTAGTCTCTCTCTCTAGTCTCTCTCTGGTCTCTCTGGTCTCTCTCTCTCTCTGGTCTCTCTCTCTCTCTGGTCTCTCTCTCTGGTCTCTCTCTCTGGTCTCTCTCTCTGGTCTCTCTCTCTGGTCTCTCTGGTCTCTCTCTCTGGTCTCTCTCTCTGGTCCCTCTCTGGTCCCTCTCTGGTCTCTCTCTCTGGTCTCTCTCTCTAGTCTCTCTCTGGTCTCTCTCAGGTCTCTCTGGTCTCTCTCTCTGGTCTCTCTCTCTCTCTGGTCTCTCTCTCTGGTCTCTCTCTCTGGTCTCTCTCTCTAGTCTCTCTCAGGTCTCTCTCTCTCTCTCTCTCTCTCTCTGGTCTCTCTCTCTCTCTGGTCTCTCTGGTCTCTCTCTCTCTCTCTCTCTGGTCTCTCTCTCTGGTCTCTCTCTCTGGTCTCTCTCTCTGGTCTCTCTCTCTGGTCTCTCTCTCTCTCTGGTCTCTCTCTCTGGTCTCTCTCTGGTCTCTCTCTCTGGTCCCTCTCTGGTCCCTCTCTGGTCTCTCTCTCTGGTCTCTCTCTCTGGTCTCTCTCTCTCTCTGGTCTCTCTCTCTGGTCTCTCTCTCTGGTCTCTCTCTCTGGTCTCTCTCTCTCTCTGGTCTCTCTCTCTCTCTGGTCTCTCTCTCTCTCTGGTCTCTCTCTCTGGTCTCTCTCTCTGGTCTCTCTCTCTGGTCTCTCTCTCTGGTCTCTCTCTCTGGTCTCTCTCTCTGGTCTCTCTCTCTGGTCTCTCTCTCTCTCTCTCTGGTCTCTCTCTGGTCTCTCTCTCTCTCTGGTCTCTCTCTCTCTCTGGTCTCTCTCTCTCTCTCTCTGGTCTCTCTCTGGTCTCTCTCTCTCTCTGGTCTCTCTCTCTCTCTGGTCTCTCTCTCTCTCTGGTCTCTCTCTCTCTCTGGTCTCTCTCTCTCTCTGGTCTCTCTCTCTCTCTCTCTGGTCTCTCTCTGGTCTCTCTCTCTCTGGTCTCTCTCTCTCTCTGGTCTCTCTCTCTCTCTGGTCTCTCTCTGGTCTCTCTCTCTCTCTGGTGCCTGACCATTGATGTGACACTGTTCTATTTACATGTGGATACTATGTTCTCTGCTTCAAAACATACATGTAAGTAGATATTTCCATTAAAGCTGGGGTACGTGGCTTTCTCAGCCAATCAGCTCTCAGCCCACAGACAGTGTGTGTATTATTCACACACATTTGAGGAAAAAAGTCAAGTCTCCCAGCTTTAAATTCCAATAGAAACTTTAAACTAAAACTGTGTGCGCGTGTGTTCATGTGTGTGTGCACACACATGAACACACGTGTGTGTGTATGTCCGTACACACACTAGCCGTGTTACTTGACCCAGCGCAGGGCGAGGCAGCGTGCGATGAAGGCGTAGGTGTCGGCGACCTCCTGGATGACCTTGCTGGTGGGTTTCCCGGCGCCGTGTCCAGACTTAGTGTCCACGAGGATGAAGAGGGGGTTGGTCTGCCGCGGCGTGCGTCCCACCGTGTGCTGCAGCGTGGCGATGTACTTCAGCGAGTGCAGAGGAACCACACGGTCGTCATGGTCACCGGTCAGCAGCAGCACCGCCGGGTACTGCACGCCACTGTCCTCTGGGACACGGATGTTGTGGAGCGGGGAGTACCTGCAGGGGGCGCCACACGCTCAGACCCAGGCTCTACCCCCGCCCTGGAGCTAAGGCAGAAACTAAGGCTGAAGCTAAGGCTGAAGCTAAGGCTGAAGCTAAGGCTGAAGCTAAGGCTGAAGCTAAGGCTGAAGCTAAGGCTGAAGCTATGGCTGAAGCTAAGGCTGAAGCTAAGGCTGAAGCTAAGGCTGAAGCTAAGGCTGAAGCTATGGCTGAAGCTAAGGCTGAAGCTAAGGCTGAAGCTATGGCTGAAGCTAAGGCTGAAGCTATGGCTGAAGCTAAGGCTGAAGCTAAGGCTGAAGCTAAGGCTGAAGCTAAGGCTGAAGCTAAGGCTGAAGCTATGGCTGAAGCTAAGGCTGAAGCTAAGGCTGAAGCTAAGGCTGAAGCTAAGGCTGAAGCTAAGGCTGAAGCTAAGGCTGAAGCTAAGGCTGAAGCTAAGGCTGAAGCTAAGGCTGAAGCTAAGGCTGAAGCTATGGCTGAAGCTAAGGCTGAAGCTAAGGCTGAAGCTATGGCTGAAGCTAAGGCTGAAGCTATGGCTGAAGCTAAGGCTGAAGCTAAGGCTGAAGCTAAGGCTGAAGCTAAGGCTGAAGCTAAGGCTGAAGCTATGGCTGAAGCTAAGGCTGAAGCTAAGGCTGAAGCTAAGGCTGAAGCTAAGGCTGAAAGCTAAGGCTGAAGCTAAGGCTGAAGCTAAGGCTGAAGCTAAGGCTGAAGCTAAGGCTGAAGCTAAGGCTGAAGCTAAGGCTGAAGCTAAGGCTGAAGCTAAGGCTGAAGCTAAGGCTGAAGCTAAGGCTGAAGCTATGGCTGAAGCTAAGGCTGAAGCTATGGCTGAAGCTAAGGCTGAAGCTAAGGCTGAAGCTATGGCTGAAGCTAAGGCTGAAGCTATGGCTGAAGCTAAGGCTGAAGCTAAGGCTGAAGCTAAGGCTGAAGCTAAGGCTGAAGCTAAGGCTGAAGCTATGGCTGAAGCTATGGCTGAAGCTATGGCTGAAGCTAAGCTAATGGCTGAAGCTAAGGCTGAAGCTAAGGCTGAAGCTAAGGCTGAAGCTAAGGCTGAAGCTAAGGCTGAAGCTAAGGCTGAAGCTATGGCTGAAGCTAAGGCTGAAGCTAAGGCTGAAGCTAAGGCTGAAGCTAAGGCTGAAGCTAAGGCTGAAGCTAAGGCTGAAGCTATGGCTGAAGCTATGGCTGAAGCTATGGCTGAAGCTATGGCTGAAGCTAAGGCTGAAGCTAAGGCTGAAGCTAAGGCTGAAGCTAAGGCTGAAGCTAAGGCTGAAGCTAAGGCTGAAGCTAAGGCTGAAGCTAAGGCTGAAGCTATGGCTGAAGCTATGGCTGAAGCTATGGCTGAAGCTAAGGCTGAAGCTAAGGCTGAAGCTAAGGCTGAAGCTAAGGCTGAAGCTAAGGCTGAAGCTATGGCTGAAGCTATGGCTGAAGCTATGGCTGAAGCTATGGCTGAAGCTAAGGCTGAAGCTAAGGCTGAAGCTAAGGCTGAAGCTAAGGCTGAAGCTATGGCTGAAGCTATGGCTGAAGCTATGGCTGAAGCTAAGGCTGAAGCTAAGGCTGAAGCTAAGGCTGAAGCTAAGGCTGAAGCTATGGCTGAAGCTATGGCTGAAGCTAAGGCTGAAGCTAAGGCTGAAGCTAAGGCTGAAGCTAAGGCTGAAGCTAAGGCTGAAGCTAAGGCTGAAGCTAAGGCTGAAGCTAAGGCTGAAGCTATGGCTGAAGCTAAGGCTGAAGCTAAGGCTGAAGCTAAGGCTGAAGCTAAGGCTGAAGCTAAGGCTGAAGCTAAGGCTGAAGCTAAGGCTGAAGCTAAGGCTGAAGCTAAGGCTGAAGCTAAGGCTGAAGCTAAGGCTGAAGCTATGGCTGAAGCTAAGGCTGAAGCTAAGGCTGAAGCTAAGGCTGAAGCTAAGGCTGAAGCTAAGGCTGAAGCTAAGGCTGAAGCTAAGGCTGAAGCTAAGGCTGAAGCTAAGGCTGAAGCTAAGGCTGAAGCTAAGGCTGAAGCTAAGGCTGAAGCTAAGGCTGAAGCTATGGCTGAAGCTAAGGCTGAAGCTAAGGCTGAAGCTAAGGCTGAAGCTAAGGCTGAAGCTATGGCTGAAGCTAAGGCTGAAGCTAAGGCTATAGCTAAAGCTAAGGCTAAAGCTAAGGCTGAAGCTACGGGTAAAGCTAAGGCTAAGGCTAAAGCTAAGGCTGAACCAGGACTAAACCAGGACTAAACCGAGGCTAAACCAGGACTAAACCAGGACTAAACCAGGACTAAACCAGGACTAAACCGAGGCTAAACCAGGACTAAACCAGGACTAAACCAGGACTAAACCTGGACTAAACCAGGACTAAACCAGGGCTAGACTAGCCTGGTTGTACCACACCATAGTACAAATTTCATTTCATACTAAGGTCTGGATTAGCTCCATTGACTCCGTGAACAGGTGGGAGGGGCTAACTCCTTTTGCAGATTGAAACCATTGGATCTGAGTTTACTGTGACGAATGTAATGGGCCCGAGTGAGTCGTTAGCATTTAGCCTAGCTTTAGCATTTAGCCTAGCTTTAGCCATCTCCTTTGCCGCTAACGGAGCTTGTGGGGAGTAGAGCCACAATCTTTGCCAGAGATTACATTTGCTAAACATTCCTCTTGCTCCTGCTTCAGTTTCTTGATAGAACCAGACTGGATTACTTTACTATCACATTCTTCGCCATTACCAAACCACAACCGCGCAAACTCGGCGCAAACTCTTGACGTCACCGGCACCGACCTACAACGCGCTCTCTGAGTAGCCGGTCGAAATACGACCAATTGCAATCACAAACACAGGGACCAGACCCAGACGCTACATGCAGTGAAATGATTGAGCGGAGTTTACGGATGGATAAGACCAGGACTGGACTGGACCAGCTTTTCTTTGGTTCTGCACTTTGAATCGTCTTGTGTATGAAGTGTGCTGTACAAATAAACTTAGTCTGGAGGCTGCTTGTGCCAAAGTATTTGAAACGATATCATTGGAACAGATTGTTGTCACTTCTGTCCTACGTAAGTCCCCTCCCGGCGCCACCACAGGCCGTGTGCCCCAGGGCAGATGTGGCTACGTACTTGATGAGCCACTGGAACTGGTCGCAGTCCTCGGAGCAGCCGAAGTCCGTGGTCCAGGCGTGACCGATGGTGAACTTGTGGAACTTCAGCATGTCCATGACCCCGACCTGAGCCACCGCACAACCAAACAGGTCCGGGCGCTGGTTCACACACGCAGCTGCAGACACACAACACACACAACACACACTGTCACACACTCTAAACAGAAAATGCTAACACAGACTTTAGATAGAGACAATGCTAACAAACTTAACACGTGTGTGCATGTGCGTGTGACGAACCCACGAGCAGTGTGTGTGTGTGTGTGTGTGTGTGTGCATGTGCGTGTGACGAACCCACGAGCAGTGTGTGTGTGTGTGTGTGTGTGTGTGCATGTGCGTGTGACGAACCCCACGAGCAGTGTGTGTGTGTGTGTGTGTGTGTGTGCATGTGCGTGTGACGAACCCACGAGCAGTGTGTGTGTGTGTGTGTGTGTGTGTGTGTGCATGTGCGTGTGACGAACCCACGAGCAGTGTGTGTGTGTGTGTGTGTGTGTGTGTGTGCATGTGCGTGTGACGAACCCACGAGCAGTGTGTGTGTGTGTGTGTGTGTGTGTGTGTGCATGTGCGTGTGACGAACCCACGAGCAGTGTGTGTGTGTGTGTGTGTGTGTGTGTGTGCATGTGCGTGTGACGAACCCACGAGCAGTGTGTGTGTGTGTGTGTGTGTGTGTGTGTGTGTGTGTGCATGTGCGTGTGACGAACCCACGAGCAGTGTGTGTGTGTGTGCATGTGCGTGTGACGAACCCACGAGCAGTGTGTGTGTGTGTGCATGTGTGTGTGACGAACCCACGAGCAGTGTGTGTGTGTGTGTGTGTGTGTGTGTGTGTGTGTGTGCATGTGCGTGTGACGAACCCACGAGCAGTGTGTGTGTGTGTGTGTGTGTGTGTGTGTGCATGTGCGTGTGACGAACCCACGAGCAGTGTGTGTGTGTGTGTGTGTGTGTGCATGTGCGTGTGACGAACCCACGAGCAGTGTGTGTGTGTGTGTGTGTGTGTGTGTGTGTGTGTGTGTGTGTGTGTGTGTGTGTGTGTGCATGTGCGTGTGACGAAACCCACGAGCAGTGTGTGTGTGTGTGTGTGTGTGTGTGTGTGTGTGCATGTGCGTGTGACGAACCCACGAGCAGTGTGTGTGTGTGTGCATGTGTGTGTGACGAACCCACGAGCAGTGTGTGTGTGTGTGTGTGTGTGTGTGTGTGTGTGTGTGTGTGTGTGTGTGTGTGTGTGTGTGCATGTGCGTGTGACGAACCCACGAGCAGTGTGTGTGTGTGTGTGTGTGTGTGTGTGCATGTGCGTGTGACGAACCCACGAGCAGTGTGTGTGTGTGTGTGTGTGTGTGCATGTGACGAACCCACGAGCAGTGTGTGTGTGTGTGTGTGTGTGTGTGTGTGTGTGTGTGTGTGTGTGTGTGTGTGTGTGTGTGTGTGTGTGTGTGTGTGTGTGTGTGTGTGTGTGTGTGTGCATGTGCGTGTGACGAACCCACGAGCAGTGTGTGTGTGTGTGTGTGTGTGTGTGTGTGTGTGTGTGTGTGTGTGTGTGTGTGACGAACCCACGAGCAGTGTGTGTGTGTGCATGTGTGTGTGACGAACCCACGAGCAGTGTGTGTGTGTGTGCATGTGTGTGTGACGAACCCACGAGCAGTGTGTGTGTGTGTGCATGTGTGTGTGACGAACCCACGAGCAGTGTGTGTGTGTGTGCATGTGTGTGTGACGAACCCACGAGCAGTGTGTGTGTGTGTGTGTGTGTGTGTGCATGTGCGTGTGACGAACCCACGAGCAGTGTGTGTGTGTGTGTGTGTGTGTGCATGTGCGTGTGACGAACCCACGAGCAGTGTGTGTGTGTGTGCATGTGTGTGTGACGAACCCATGAGCAGTGTGTGTGTGTGTGTGCATGTGTGTGTGTGTGTGCATGTGTGTGTGACGAACCCACGAGCAGTGTGTGTGTGTGTGTGCATGTGTGTGTGACGAACCCACGAGCAGTGTGTGTGTGTGTGCATGTGCGTGTGACGAACCCACGAGCAGTGTGTGTGTGTGTGTGTGTGTGTGTGTGTGTGTGTGCATGTGCGTGTGACGAACCCACGAGCAGTGTGTGTGTGTGTGCATGTGTGTGTGACGAACCCACGAGCAGTGTGTGTGTGTGTGTGTGTGTGTGTGTGTGTGTGTGTGTGTGCATGTGACGAACCCACGAGCAGTGTGTGTGTGTGTGTGTGTGTGTGTGTGCATGTGCGTGTGACGAACCCACGAGCAGTGTGTGTGTGTGTGTGTGTGTGTGTGTGCATGTGCGTGTGACGAACCCACGAGCAGTGTGTGTGTGTGTGTGTGTGTGTGTGTGCATGTGCGTGTGACGAACCCACGAGCAGTGTGTGTGTGTGTGCATGTGTGTGTGACGAACCCACGAGCAGTGTGTGTGTGTGTGCATGTGTGTGTGACAAACCCACGAGCAGTGTGTGTGTGTGTGTGCATGTGTGTGTGTGTGTGTGCATGTGTGTGTGACGAACCCACGAGCAGTGTGTGTGTGTGTGCATGTGCGTGTGACGAACCCACGAGCAGTGTGTGTGTGTGTGTGTGTGTGTGTGTGTGTGTGTGTGTGTGTGTGCATGTGCGTGTGACGAACCCACGAGCAGTGTGTGTGTGTGTGCATGTGTGTGTGACGAACCCACGAGCAGTGTGTGTGTGTGTGCATGTGCGTGTGACGAACCCACGAGCAGTGTGTGTGTGTGCATGTGTGTGTGACGAACCCACGAGCAGTGTGTGTGTGTGTGTGTGTGTGTGTGTGTGTGTGTGTGCATGTGCGTGTGACGAACCCACGAGCAGTGTGTGTGTGTGTGTGCGTGTGTGTGTGACGAACCCACGAGCAGTGTGTGTGTGTGACAAACCCACGAGCAGTGTGTGTGTGTGACGAACCCACGAGCAGTGTGTGTGTGTGTGCATGTGCGTGTGACGAACCCACGAGCAGTGTGTGTGTGTGCATGTGTGTGTGACGAACCCACGAGCAGTGTGTGTGTGTGTGCATGTGTGTGTGACGAACCCACGAGCAGTGTGTGTGTGTGTGTGTGTGTGCATGTGCGTGTGACGAACCCACGAGCAGTGTGTGTGTGTGCACTTGTTTTCAACTCCTGGTGGGTTCCATAACCTGAGATTCCGCTCACGTCATGGGGACTGGTTTTACGTGGTGGGGCCCGAACACCGGACCCCACTGGTCCAAGCTTAATAATCAATGGGTAATGCTTTTCTAACGGTCCTTATGCAGTCTCTGTAAAAATATGGAAAGGACCCCTGGAGGTTTACTTTCCTGAAAAAAGTGTGTTATGTGTCGGAACCCTGGTGGTGGGTTGCGGGATATCAAGGAGGGGCACACTGGGGCAATTTCAGTCCAGCAGGCTGGAGCCAATCATGGAGCAGCACAACAGAGGAAATCAGGTGTCAGGCTAGAAAAAGGTGCAAGTGTGTGGTTCATTAGGCTGCAGCCAATCACAGAGCAGCACACTGAAGCGCACGCTTACAAACCACTGGTAAGTGCTGACTACAAGTCATGACTTCAAATTGTTATATAGAATGATTACAAATTATTTGTTGTTTGTGCAGCTTAGTCAAGAGTCCCTAATTGATGAAGTCGACTCAGATTCTGACGATTTAACTGTCAAGAAGAAACCTGTAAAAAAGTATGGAAAAAGAAAAATCAAAAACACTTTTCTTCAAGACTCGGAAAGTGACGAACCAAAGGCAAATAAGATTGTTATCATGCAGCTGCAAAAGAAGAAAAATGGGGGGCGAGTTTACAGCAAGAGACACTTCTGCCTCTACTGTTCAATGTCCTGCCACAAAATGTCCCGTCATTTGACTAGAAAACATGGAAATGAAAGTGACGTAGCCAGAGCATTGGCTCTACCTGTGAAATCTAAAGCACGTAAACTTCAGTTTGATTTGATCAGGAATAGTGGAAACCGTGAGCACAATTTTGAGGTTTTAAAGGCCGGCATTGGAACTTTAGTCCCAGCTAAACAGCCAAATTCCCCAGTTAAATCCAGTGAGTTTTTGCACTGTATAGACTGTGGGGCATTGCTTAAGCGAAAGTCGCTGTGGAGGCATGTGGCCAGGTGCCGGCTTTCACAGAAAGATGCCCAGGCTAAACCAGGTAGAAGTAGGGTCCAGTCCCTCTGCTCCCTAGCCCAGCCTGTACCGGAGGGCATCAGCAAAAAGCTGTGGTCTTTAATTTCGGCAATGCATCAGGATGAGGTCACGGGTGTTGTCAAAGCAGAAAAGGGGATTCTGAGACTCGGAGAGCACCTGTACTTAAAACACGGGCATGATAAGACAAAGCATGATTACATTAGGCAGAAAATGAGAGAAGTCGGTAGGTTAATTAACGAAGCAAAAACCGCAGGGAAACTGAAAACAATTAAGGATTTCTTTATTCCTTCCAACTTTAACCATGTGATTGATGCAGTCAGGTCT